CTGGCGGAATGAGGTCGTCTTGGGTTTTTCAATATCGAGATTCTGGCTGAAACTTAGACAAAGTTCGTCAAAATCCACTTGAATATTTTTCTTGATCTTTGATATGACCTCGTTATAGGTTCGGTTATGCCATAATGGGGTAATATTGTGCACGGCGTCCATGAAGTCTAGAGGTGCACAATCCGTCGTCTGTACGATGGCAATTCCCTCTATAACACCTTCATGATATATTATCTGCACCTAGATGACCCAATCCTCAATTTTCTGACCCTAAGATGGGCCCTGGATCGTCTTCCTCCACCGTTTTTCGACTGTTCTCCGGTGCAAGACGTCTCGCTGATTATATAGGAGATATAATGCTCGCAGCATCTCAAATCCAGTTGTTTTGTTAATCAAAAACTCCTTCATCGACCTATTGATCGTAGATTGTAGGGCAATTTCCACTTTTCGAATTCTCTCTGACACGTCTTTAACCTCTAGACGACGTTTGACTTGTCTATTATATAATGCATCGTCCACGTTGATATCCGTGATATCTGGTACCCTAGGTAACGTTGCTTGAGGTGCATTCTGTTCTGGATTGATATAATCCCATACAGTTTGCTGCTTAGCAAGACGCTTAATTTGGGTATACCAGAGTTGCCATGTGGTAGGACCCGTTAGGATCACATCTGTGGATGTAGACATGGTGGAAGTAAGGTCAAAATGAGGTCAAAGTGAGAGATATGTGAGAGATAAGTGAGGCTTGAAGGATAGGACGTGATTTTTGGGAGATTCGTATGGAGGATTCTGAGGATTCTGGACGTTCTGGAACGTTCGAGGATATGCAAATTGTCGAATTCTGAGCTTGACGAGCTCAATTTTGGCGAATATGGAGATGAGGTAGAAGAATATGATAGACAATATTGTGGGGTAGGCCCACAAGATCAGTCCGAGCTCCACCCGAGCTCCACCAGGTGGAATATCAGAATTCAACGTTGAATTCTCCACGGAATATGAAATAGAAAATATATGAAGAAGGAAGAATTCTCCACACGAAAATGGGGTATATATAGTAGGATATTGCCGGAATTTTCCAGCAAACTTGCAGAATTTTCACCCACAAATAACAAACATAAACAATAAACAGACAATTTATGTGTTTGTATAACACAAACACATAAACACACAAACACACACAAACACACAAACAACAAACAACAAACACACAAACACGTATAGATACGTGTAGGTAACACACACGTCACACGTGTGGACAGAGAACACAAATTCTGACTTAGAATTGCGTTAAAAATGGTGAAATGTGAAAATATCACAATTCAGAGGTAATTCTATGAGGCTCTAGCTGACTAGCAGGCTCAATAGAATAGAATATGAGATATCTCTAGACCAGAGACTATCTCGGAATAACCCACACGTATAGCTACGTGTGGTCAAAACGACCTAAATCGTGTCTGTCTGAGGTTGGCAGGGCAATTGGTTACCAATCTCAGGAAAAAACAACACGAATAGCGTCAAAATATGAGGATATTGTAGTGCTTAGAGAGGGCACACCGGGCTCATAACTGTCTGAGATTGGCAGGGCAACTGGTTACCAATCTCAGGGAATTAGATCAGATGAACAAGGCAATGTGGTCAAGCTGAGCTAATTCAGGGTCTTCTCAGGAAATTCTCAGGATAGAAAGTGGAGAAGAAATTGGCGTGAGATTCAAACTATTCTGCCGAAAATGCGAGAACTAAATACCTGAGATTTAGAGAAGAAATCAAACAGAACAAACAAATCAAGTAAAATATCACATGATATGACATAAATGAAATAGCGGAGAATTCCGGTAAAAAAGTGCGAACTCAGAGAACACGTAAGGACTCCATTCTCTGACACTTATATATATTATATTAAAAGACTTTAGGGGATAGAATTGTCATGCGAAGCCAAAACTCAAACTGGATGGCCATTGCATCGGAGGGTACAATTAGCAAAACCGAGGTATAAATAGTAACTCTCTTAAACTAACCTAATTTACGTCTTCTTAGGGAATTCTTAGGGATAGAAAGTAGAGAAGGAATAGGTATTAGATTTGAACTACTCTGCCAAATATACGACAACTTAATATATAAAAGTTAGAGGAGAATTTAAATAGAATAAACTAAATAAGGGAAGTATTATATGACGTGATATAAGGAAAATAGCGGAGAATTTTGGTAAAAAAAAAGGATAAAGTGCGAATTTAGAGAGCACGTAAGGACTCCCTCCATTCTCTGATAAATATTATATGACCTTTTCCTTATTTGATTTATTCTAATTAAATCTATCTCTAAAACTTATATATATATAGTTCCTATCTATTAGTAGAATAGTTCTAATCCTATACCTATTTCTGCTCTATTTTCTATATTATAGAATTTCTTAAGAAGATCCTGGATTAGCTTAGCTTCACTATATTACCTTGACTATCTAATCTAATTCTCTAAGATTAAGTTAGTATCTAATCGCTCTACTGACCTTAGATAAACAATAAGTATCATTTTAATTCTAGAGTTGAATGACTTCTATAATAAATAAGAACTAAGATATAAGGATTAGTATATTTATAAATAAGTATGGCATTAGATATACTACTATTAAATTAATAGTAATATACCCACTAGAGAACTTATAACTTATAAGAGTTCTCCTATGAGCCTAGTTATATTATAGGGCTTAGCTAATTACTCCCATAGGAGTTTAGGATAACCTTTATCCTATTTTATATCCTAAGTATAGACATTCTGTAGTAAATCTCTTTCGCTTCTTGTACCCGTACTACTAGACTTCTCTATCTATGAAATAATATAAGAGTTGATATTTCCTCCTATTCTTATGAGTATCGATAAAAGAAAGACCTTTCAAAGCCAATAAAGTCTAATTTTATCTAATATCTGTCTATTTAGGCTAAGTTGCTTTATATTTGATTAAGTTTACCTACTCGTGATTTCTATATTGAAAAACAGCGCGCTAAATGTAATATTTCGCTTTAGTCATAACCTTTATAGTCACAGTTAAGCCTATCACGAACCCCGTCTCGTTAAAATTATGTATAACATCTAGATTTATCCCGTTCTCGTGCCTTATCTTTTAGACTAGATTAAATTATAAAAATTGCGGAAGTATCGTAGATCACGTGAGAATTCCATTAAACCAAAAGGTATAAGCCAGAGTCTTCTATTGAAGACTCTAGAATCCCACGATTTAATTTTATATGATTATGGTCCTTATGGGCCCGCGAACGCCAGCTCCGGGCGGTTCGTGCACATTCTGGTCCAAATTGCATAAATATGCGCTCAAATTATTAAACAGAACCACATGAGTCCAAATTAGGATTATTCTACGCGTCGCGAGTAAGAGATTAGCTATTTTTTGTATAGTTTCAGGCTATGGTGCCACCCCTCGAATATCTGTAGAGATAACATATTTCTTCAGCGAGATCTTCTTAATTTTAGCTAATTTAAACGAATTTAGGCGCGATATGACGCGGTTTAAACATCTGTTGAGACGGGCGTATAATATTACAGAAGGGATATTGTATAACATGCTCCCTCGCGGATTTTTTTTTTTTTGCTGAATTTTGAGAGCCTAGGTAGATATTAAGTAATATCCGGTCCTGTTGAATCTTGATGTGTTAAATTTCGACGATTTGAGAGCGGATTGGTGGCATAGTGGCTAGTTAAAGAACGACAGTCTAATTAATTGACGCGTTTTGGTTGGGTGTTCTGGCTGACCGGGTGTTCCGCTCGCTTGTTAATTACGTTATTTATGAGGAGAAAGCGGGGATGCGATAGCAAGTACCGTACGTATTCGGTCTGTTCGACGTGAGAAAGGTGATCACTAGTCAATTCTAGACTATCTTCGAAATCATGTATTTTTCAGCTACGCGTATAGAACGCCAGGAGCGTCTCCACAGGATAGGGTATCGGATCGGATTTGGAAAGTTTGAAACCTAGCCAAGCCTTAGTAAGGCGTCCACTTGATCTGTGTATAGTCGGGCGACTGATGTCCGGATAGTGGTGTACTGCATCGCCGTATTATCCTTGTATTTTATGTTTCAATAGGTAATAGAGCAGTAATCAAGCACAAGCCCTTAGCACCTGATTCACCCGAACAAAGGGTCATCCCACATGAATGTCTCCTCTCAGTTCCCTCCATATAGGGTGAGAAAAGATAAGAAAAGTCCAGCATCATTCAAGGTCATCTGTCCGTCGGCAGAAAACAAGGCAACAAGGACCATTCCTGAACCTCGAGTGAGATCAGCCTGCAGATCGACACGATCACACTACCCAGGGAAGAGACTTCAGCCATGATTGGTGGGATACCATAGAACTCAGTGGGGCACACAGGCAGCCATTGGCGTATCGCGAGGTCTTATACGATGATTGCCCGCATGGGATGTTGTCATGGGGCCCAAATGGGGCGATCTGTGTGTCATTGGGTGCCCAGATGACTATAATAAGATAGGCGCCACCCCGCACTCCGTTAATTCACAGTACACAGCCCCTCTTCTTTGACTCATCCAGAAGTCATATTCCCCTGTTTTCCCATCGTTTCGCTCTTGTTTCCCTCTTCAATCCTTTCTCCTCCCCCATCTACCCATCGATTTTCCATTCCCTTGGGTTGAATTTCCTGGGAATGAGGCTTGACTCATCCCTCGGCCATTGGATCTCTTATCACCGGTTATCGCCACCTGTGTGACAAATCCCGGGCCTGCATTTCCATTGACTTCCACTTCGTCATCCGTACATTGTACATTCAATTTGGAACATTCAATTCGACTCATTAACCTCACTTTCCCTTACTTTTCTCTCCCCGACTCATCTCACCTCCATCCATCTCTTTATTCCACCCCCCCCCCTCTTCCCCCTTCTCCATATCTGCCCAAAGAACTCAATTTTCCTGCCTAACTGCTGGAATTGCTCTTTCTGGTATGACCTCTGGTATGCAACAATCGGGAAAACACCCGAGCAATATGAATCGTCTTCCTGTATCAAGCCTGATGTCACCCCCGGAGACGAAGCCTTTGGAGAATTTCCAACACTCTCCATTCATCAGAGACTCCTCGTCCTTGGATATCAAACTACCCCCCATCTCAGCTGATCGCAAGCGTACACAGTCGGAGATGGATCTACCGTCGCCCCCGGTGACCCCATACACGGGCACCAAGAAACGACACTCTCACACAGCGGAGCAGATGGAGCGTGAGGTGGGTTCCTCCCGAGATCCAGTGCTGTTCCCTCGACATGAGTCTATCGCGGGGGAGGAACAGCCGCTTTTCGGTCCCATCCACTCCACCCCCGAGGCCGTCGTGGAGCAGCATATCACCTCCCACATGGCTCGCTTTGACAACAAGCGTAATAAACCCACGCGCGATGAATATCTGCTTGCGCTGTCGTGCGTCCCCATCGTTTCTACCCAGTACAACCGCAACCCGATGGCCTGGGCCCGGGAGGAGCGTGAGACGTTGGAACGGCAGCTAGCCTTGATGAATCGCTACCGACCGACCGATCTGGCGGCCAAGTTGAAGAAGATTGCTCCGGCCCCAAAGAAAGCGGCCATGACCCCCCGGGTTCAGCGCACCCGAGTCAAGCGCACCCCTAAATCTACCCCTAAGCAACAGACCATGGATACCTTTGATTCCCCCCCTAGTGCCTCCAAATCGCGGGCCTTGGGTACCAATCGGGATGACACCGACTTTCAGGCCCTGCAGGACTTCTCGCCTCCATTGGATACGCTAGGCAGCAACGCCAAAGCATTGAAGGCCGACTGGAAAGGGCAAATGTTGGATTTGAGCAATGACCCGGACAGACATATGCTCAGTCCGGCCGAGCTGAATCTAGCCTCTACCCTGCGATTGTCCTGCGCCACTTATCTGTGCAGTAAGCGCCGCATTTTTGAAGCTCGCGTGCGCGCCCTAGGCGTGGGCAAGGAATTCCGCAAGACGGATGCCCAGCAGGCCTGCAAAATTGATGTCAACAAAGCCAGCAAGCTCTGGACTGCCTATGAGCGTGTCGGATGGTTCAAGCCCGAGTTCTTCCACCAGTATCTGAGATGATCTTATGGTTAAGACCACTCTCCTTCCCCCACTCCCTCCTGCATAGTAGTTCAATCGTCTCTATGCCCAACTCGCTTTGACAGCGAATTCCACCTTCTTTCTTGGCTCTATCTCTCCCGTTCTTCCTCCCTCCCCCCTCGCTTTCTTCACGCTTCCTCCCCCCCCCACAATGCAATGCTTGTGGCTTGATACCCTTCAGATGGGGCTGTTGAATGAGGCCTGGGTACGACCCTCCCATCTAGCCTTCTAATCCCGCCGCTTCCTTCGACGTCGCTGTTGAACAGCCAAGGCGAGCTCGCGTCTTTTTTCGTGCCTCTTCGGATCGAATGTTTATTAATCCTCATTGACTTCAGCCTTCGCTGTACCTACCTGAGATCAATTTTGGGTGATTACTAAGAGCTGGGCCATCGAACAGTGGTGCTTTCAGTTTTATTGCCTCTGATGTCCGCTACACGCTTGATGATACCTTCGTTTTTCTTTTCACTTCAGCTTCCATTTTAACGTTCCACATTGGGATCTTGGTTCTTCTTATTTTTTTTTTTATCATCTTTATTTGCGAGATGAAGTTGCTATTAGTTCTACCCACGGATTTTGTTTGATCGCAACGCCTAGCTGTTGCCTATCCTTTGTTCCCGGCGTTCTATGGCGTTTTCATATCCATCTAGAATGGCAGACTTGGGGCTCCATACGTGCCCACACATACCCCTTCAACACACGGAGTTGCGAGATTTTGTTTCGGTAACTGTTTCTGTTTCTCTTTCTTGCTCTTGTTTTGTTCGCATCATGACCGGGGAAGATTTCTGCGATAGCAACCGGGATGACATGATACCCTGACCAGATACGATTCCTTTGAAATATCAGACACCTTGCAAATGACTGAAAATTTTCAATCATAATGAGTAGTCCCTACCATCTTTCAGAATTAACGTAGTTGAATCAGAATATGACCTGGTTAGATAATTTAAGCAATTGTGGATTCCTCATGACCACTAACATAGTTAACTATTACTAGCATGTAGAACATGAGTTATATAGTCGTTGGCCTGAAATGTGGGGCTGCTGCGGACGCCAATCCAGTGATCTGGCTCCGCCCCGGCGCCACCTTTTTCTGACGTCTCCCTCATTTCACCATTCGCATCACTCTTTTCACCACCACTCTGCCTGATACGAACATCTATTTAAGCCATGTCCCAGGCCGAGGCGACCCGCGCCGAGTCTATCGATGAACAGGAACATTCCAGGGTCGATGGCGACAAGAAGCCAAAGTCCCGGCGACCCGCCAGTGTGTATCCCCTGCTCCGACACTTCCGTCCTCGGTCCTTCTACTAATCCATTCCATGACCAGATACCGCTTTTCGGCAGCAGCGGTTGAAAGCATGGCAGTACGTATTCGGCCTTTTCCCACTGGCGCGTAGTCTTCGGCCTATACTGACGCTCCTTGGTTAGGCCGATTTTAACACCGAAGAGTGTTCTTCCCCTGTTCTTTGTTGTGGGCATTATTTTTGCTCCACTCGGTGGTGTCCTCCTCTGGGCGAGCTCTCTAGTCTGTCTCCGTTGTGTCGTGCCATTCAAAACGCTTTGAAACCGCTAACACAATATGTAGGTCCAAGAGATATCGATTGATTACACCGATTGTTATAGCTCAGCCCCAACAGCTAGTCGGACTACCATCCCTGATCGAGTGTCAGCGACTTTCAAAGCGAAGTCCACTAGTCTTCCATCATGGCAGAGAACTGTAGACGAGGCCACCAACCAAACCACCTGCAGCCTTTACTTTGAAATCCCTGAATCCATGGGACCTCCGGTTTTCTTGTACTACCGCCTCACCAACTTTTATCAAAACCATCGCCGATATGTCCAGTCACTGCAATTGGATCAATTGAAGGGCGAAGCTCTCAGCAACAAAACGATCTCGGGCAGCGTGTGTGACCCCCTCACGACGGACCCAGCCACAAAGAAAGCGTACTATCCATGTGGGTTGATTGCGAACTCCCGCTTTAACGACAGCATCGGTAGTCCTTCCCGTTTCGACGACAATGACTCGACGCCCTACAACATGACGAAAAAGGGAATCGCCTGGGAGAGTGACAAAGCGCTTTACCAAAAAACCAAATACCAGCATTGGCAGGTGGTTCCTCCACCCAACTGGACCAAATACAATGGCAGTTATACGAATGAGTCCATGCCCAACCTTCATGAGGATGAAGATTTTATGGTTTGGATGAGAACTGCTGGATTGCCAGCTTTCAGCAAACTCTCTCGTCGGAATGATGACACTGCCATGGCTCCAGGACAATATCAGTTGGATATTCTTGATCGTGAGTTTTTTGTATTCCCCTTTAATTTCTATGTTGCTTACGCCCGTCTAGAATTCAAGGTCACCGAATATGATGGAACAAAGTCGATTCTGCTCTCTACTCGCACTGTCATGGGTGGGAAGAATCCATTCATGGGAATTGCCTACGTGGTTGTTGGAGGTGTGTGTGTACTTCTTGGAGCTCTATTCACCATCGCTCACTTGGTTCGACCAAGGTACGTGTCTATATCCCTAGTGTTTGGTGCCTTATTTCTCATGCCTTCTATAGAAAACTGGGTGACCACACCTATCTGTCTTGGGATTCAACTAATCAGCCAACCACTGCCATGGCTACTGGGCGAGATGACCGACTGCGCCCAAGCTCCTAAATTCTAATAAAAACTCGAAAAATCAGTTATTGAATTTTTTTTACCCCCTACGCTGGTGTTTCCGTTCTATTTTCTGTCATGTTTTCAGTATCATATTGGGGTTTAAATCGTGTGAATAAATGGACTACTGTTCCGGCTTGGGTGTTTTGATAAGGAGTTTTTATGTATCTAACATAACAATGAGCATTCTTCTTTCTCTCCTACCCTCGAGTGTGACATCATTTCCATTCGAGGAATCAGTCTTGTAGATAGGGATGTCTATGATGTGTACGTTCTTTCTCCACTCTGCGGGCTTTTCTTTTGCTGATCCTCGATGCCTACTGTACATATGCTCCCACCCCCTTGCTGGGGTCATACATTCCATCGCGACGCAGCATTCTTAGGGCTCATGGCATCGGAGCAGGTTTATGGCACCAAAATCAAGACTGGGCGAAGCATAGTCAAAATGAATCACGAATGTTACTCTTCCTACCACTCATCATCATATTCTGTCACTCTTTCCTTCTTTTGCTGATTCACGGGTGGGGGAATTCACGATACCAGGGCATATTTTATACCAGAACATCATGGTCTGTCACTCTTTCATGCCACTCGTGCTTCTTGCCACAGCCCTTTTTCTGCTGCAAGCCCAGTCTAGCCCCCCTTGTGTTCCAGAAACGCGGCATCTGCGCCACTGAGGATCCAGGTTCATCTTTTCTGCAAGCCCTCCAGCAAGTCAAGGTTGATGAGGCCCATCCAGGTCCCACAGAGTCCGAGGCCCGACAAGCTCCTATAGAAATTGAAACCTGGTTCCACATTATCAGCAGCCATGCCGAGGTGGACCAGGTTACCGAATATATGATTAATTCCCAGGTATGGCCTCATCTACCAGCCTCCCTAGGCTCTCTGATGCTGACTTTACTCAGCTTTCGATCCTGCAGGATGCGTATGAGGATGCTGCCATTCAGTATCGCCTGCAGGGTGTAACCCACCACGTGAATGATGTCTGGGCACAGGACGGTGATGACCTTGCCATGAAGAAAGCGCTCCGGAGAGGGAGCTATCGAACCCTAAACGTGTATTTCCAAACCGATTTACAGGCATCTCCGGGACAAGCTGGACGGGCTGAGCACCGCGGGGCTAGCCAGTCAAACGATCTATCTTCCAGCGTGTTGGGCTTCTGTACGCTGCCTGATCCAAGTGTGAACGCTAGCAGTCCCCGGACAGATTATGTTAAGGATGGTTGCAACATCCTCGCCAAGACAATGCCTGGTGGTTCTTTGGATCTTTATAACCGGGGAGGGACTGCGATCCATGAAATTGGACACTGGAACGGTCTCCTCCATACTTTCCAGGGAGAATCCTGCTCTGCAAGCAACCCCGGCGATTATATCTCCGACACTCCTCAGCAATCCACACCCACGGACGGATGTCCTGCTCAAAAGGATTCATGTCCTGACTATCCAGGCTTCGATGCTGTCCACAATTTCATGGACTATTCGTCCGATGTCTGCTATGAGACCTTTACGCCGGGCCAGATGAACCGAATGCGGAATATGTGGGCCACCATGCGTCAAGGCAAATAGAATGAGATCTCTTCGCATTCAGACTTTCAATGTATATTTTACACGTGTCTACTCCTTTGGATCATATGGTTCTAGGTCTTTACCTCTTACAGAAAGCATTTAAAGAATTTCCATAATTTTGAAGAAACAGAAACAAAGAGTTTTCAATCACATCAGGATGGGAACAATGAGAAAAAGAGGCAAAGTCTCGTCGACAAGTATGGGTTTGTCTGCCGTAAAATCAAAGCAACCGAGGGCTTTCTCTCCCACCCATTTGCCAACCCTTGAAATTGGGAGAAAAAATAAAAATAAGAGTAATTGCACATTGGGAAACAAAGAGATAAGTTTGAAATACAAGGTGATTGGATCCAACGGGGAAAAGAAACGCAAATCGAGAAAGGATGCACGCAGCATTAGCGCTTGCGCTTCGTGCCACGGTCATCGTCGTCCACCATGGCTTCCTTGTCATGGCGCTTAGCTTTCTTTTCAAGTTCATCCCAGTCCTCGCCACTCTCCTCATCGCCGCTGAAGTCCTCCTCGCTGGCGTCTGCACTGGCATCATCGTCAAAGTCGCTATCCTCTTCCGAGCTCTCATCGGCGGCTGCCAGCTCAGAGTCAGAAAGTTCAAAGGCCGACTCGGCTTCGTCATCCGATCCACCCTCGGAGTCGGATTCAGCAGCCAGGAAAGACCATCCACCATCAGCAAAGAAGCCGTATGGATCGCTCACAACTGTTTTCATGATAGTGGTCCAGTTGAGGTTCAGGGGACCCTCGGTAAAGGCAATATCAACCGAGTCGAGCCAGTCCTTGACACCTTCCAGTGCTTCAACCGGGATAGTGTTCACATGCACTGGGGGTCGATGGAAGTCCTTGTAAACAAACACAAGATCGAAATTTTTGAGGCCAAACTACAGTCATGTTAGCAAGGGGACCGACGCAAGAAACCCGAAGACATGATTGCCTACCTGCACTCGCTCCAAATGGGCAATCTCAATTTCATTGAGTGTGATCACCATGAAAGGAGGCTCAGTGAGTTGGACGAGCGCATCCGTAGTCGGCTGGATCAGCACATTGGAGCGGTTCGGCACACCGGTGAAACCGATCTCTCGGAAGGGAATATCGACGTCCACACCCTCATCCTTGCCAGCATCCGCAATCTTCTCAGCGAAGGCTTTGAATTCGCGGTCAAGCGCAGCCCTCCGGCGTCTTTCCTCCTGTTCGGCCTCGAACTCTTCCTCATCTCCATATCGGTGCTTACGCCGACGGTTTCCAGTTTCATCAAACTGCATCTCTGTAGCCTCGCGATAAAATTGCACATCCCGAGTCTTTCTCTTTCCGATCATGATTGGGGTTTTCAAGTGCACATGAATAAGAACGATCATCTCATGAGCACAAGGTTGGAAAAATAGATGCTTCACATTGCTAAAGAGCACATCGACATGCTCGTTGCGGAAGGGCGACAGGTACCGGAGACCATTTTGGTGAATTTCCACCTCACCTGGAACACGCTTGCCATCCAGCGGCGGCCGAAGGTATACATCGGGCAGTTTCACAGGACGACGATCTAGTTTCAGTTAGCATAAAGGTGGTCATCTTCAGGGAAATGCATCGTTACTGACTTCTGATTTCCACAAGCTTGTCTTGCTCGACCACGTCCTCCATCTCCTTCTTCTCCTGCTCTCGTCTCAAAGCATTCTTTCGAAGCTCGGTGATATCTTGCGCAACCTGTGCCAATCTATCGTTACTCTTGGATCGTAGTGTCAAATTGCGAACGAAATGGGCGTTCGGATCTTCAAATGGCTGATCATCCTTTCTACCGACACCCTGACCAGGCGAGAGAAAGTTGATCCGCAAATACGCGTATTCTCCTTCATCACTCTTGCTGGCATTCTTGATGGTGTTAATGTGGAACGGCACGGGCCTACCCATGATTGGCACGATAACAGTCAACGCCTTGTGGTCGACATAAACGGTAAGATCTTTGACCTTGACGGGCAGCTGGTTGTCTCGCTTGTAAGATTCGAAGCGCTTGAACTTCTTCTGGGCCACACCATTGTCGTCTCCAGTAGTCCCGGTGAACCGATCTAGACCTTCTTTGGTCTTCTTCGTCGCCAATTCCTTTTGATGCTCCCGGCGGCGTGCTTCAGCACCCTCGTTGATCTGAGTCGGCCGCTCCGCTCGAAGCTTGGTGCGGGTCACATTTCTGCTAGCGATTGCGCTAGATTTTGCCTCTTTCTTCTCCTTCACCGGTTTCTCTGGCTCTTCGTCATCCCCAAAGTAAAAGGAAACCGAATCCATATCAATGCCGGCATCCTTAGTAAAGATATGAGGGCCATTTTCGCCAACGCGAACAGTATCAGTGATGACCATGGAGTAGACGTCCTTGCCCTTAGAGCTGGCATCTTTCACATCGGTCAGGCCTATGGTGATCGCCAGGGTCATGCCATTCTTCAAGACTCGAGTGTTCTTCGCATTAAGGATCATATTGGCATCTCGGATCTCAATACCGATTCCCGAGCCAATGTTCTTGGTCAGGTGGCTCTCAAGTTCTGGCTTCTTGGTTTTGACTAGGCTCAGAGCCTTGTTGTACAGATCCTTGGCAACGACTCCATCCCTGATCTCCTTCATGACCGTCTCGTGCAGGCTCACCAGGAAAGCATAGTTTGCTTCTTGGGATTTGCTAGGGTCCACCAAGTAGGTGCGCCCGATAAGGGAGTTGTAAGTTTTGTAGCGGATACCGAAGCTTGAAAGGATAATGCCCGGCTGGAGGTTTTTGCTATCGGGGGTTGCAGTTAGCTTTAGGTCATAAACTCCACCGCTCTGAACTACCGGGCCATAAGCCCAGTCAATCTGCTCGGCGTCAAATTCCGATGGGAGACGGGCAAGCTTGTTGAAAAATTTGGCATCATCGATCTTCGCCTCAACTTTGCTGGCAAGGGCTTTGTGTGTCATCTGCTTTTCTTCATCTAGCAGTTGAGACATCTCATCCACAAAGTATTCCGACATCAACCCGCTACATGCCCTAGAGGCGTTCCGAATGGAGACCTTTGGTTTGTATTAGCCACCGCTTTTCGAGACCTATCCCACAGTGCAACCAGACTCACCAGTTCCTCGGGATCCTTGATCGAAAATGCAGCTGAGAGCGCTGGCGTGATATCAACTTCCTCGATGTCCTTGGAGATTTCTGCGAAAGCGCGCTTCCAGTCATCGGCGAAGGGGCCGGAAGTTGTGTCTTTTGGCAAGGTGCCAACTTTCTTCTGTTATCCAAGGCTTAGCGAATTGCTGGCCATCATCGAGCACGCATGTTTTCGGATGACTTACTCCTGCGCCTTTGATGACCTCCAGACATTTTTCGAATGCCTTCGTCTTGGACTCCGGGTCCTTTGTAGTCACCAGAAGTTCTACCGGAATCTTCCCACCTTTCAAAGGCTCAAGAAGCTCCGCTATTCCCCACAATCGTATTAGCGGGCTGGCGCGCATGGATTCACAAAGCCAAATTCGCTCACCTTTCTTGGCGGTAGTAACTGCATAGACCGCTTCCGTAGTCAGGACCAAGAGCGTCGCCGGGAACTCGTAGCCGAGAAGCCAGAACTAAAGGTTCATTCAAATTAGTAATCTAAGCCACTGGCATCGGCAATGTAAGGCAAGATCGGATAAAAGAATGCTGGCAACTTACGTGCATTGCATTATTCTTCTGAAAAGCACTCTCGTCGGTTCTGGTCTTGCCCATGAGGATAACAATAGCGCCTGCCCCTCCGAACAGGGCATTGCCAGAACGCTTGTCGGCTTTCCATGACGCATACAAGTTGGACAGATGATTGAAAAAGGTATTTTTGTCAATCGCAATCTTCTCGGCCATGATGGGCGATCTGGCGCAAGCAGGGTCTGCTGGCAGCAGCGAGAGAGAGGTTGACGATACGATAGCTTTCCTTGAGAGCAAAAGCTAAAATCAAGGTCGCATTCAAAAAAAACGATGGAATCAAGAATGCAAGTGATTTGAATGTGAGGTGGTGGATGAAAGAAGGTGAAATTGCGAAGGGCGGGGAGATGTCTAAGATACAAGAGAATCTTGCACTGTCTTTCTTCCTTAGAAAAGACGGAGAGACGCGAAAAGCGCGTTTTGGCATGGTTGGCTGCTCCGGCCCTCCGCAGTATCAGTTTTGCCTCTCTGGGACTAGCGTTTGCTGCTTTCTCAAAGCTCCTCTTTTCGTACTCCATGAAAGACTTCACGCTCTCAACGAATTAGAGGAGCTGGTGTGTCCGATCGCCGACATGTTCTCTGCTCTGTTTTCTATCTGTTATTTCGTTTAAATATCTCCGTGACCGGACCTGGCTGTCTTTCCTAACAGCGATCGAATACAACCTGACGAACCGTCGGTGCGATGACCGATAAGGTCTGCAATGAACCCAATTTACCTGGACCCCCATCTTCGGGACCCAGGCTCTCGAACAAAATCGCGCAATGATGCAGCAACTGGGGCCTCAGCAGCTGGTGTTCGTGCTGTTAGTGCGCAGATGGTAGCCTTTTACTTCCGAGCTCCGATCAAGGCTTTCTTTCGCACCCGTGTCGAGTAGGTTCTGATGACAATGATGTTACCCCCGTACCATAGTGGATGTTAACTTGTGTGTTAGTTATATGGTACATAACCCCTTCGCCTTTTATACCCTTGGTACCCGGGCTAATCATTTTTGGTACTCATCCAAGTAGGCATTTGCCCGAGCTGTGAATCCCCGAGTTGCAGACGGCAAATGGTCCATTCACACCACTACCCCTGGCTTATTGCTTCATGCAGTCCGAACATATGGCTGGCAATTCATTCCGAACCAAGTCTTGCCACCTCTTTTGGCGAATGCAGCGTGAGGAGCACTTACTCCCTTCCACTCTATGGTCCGAGGATGTTGACTCGGACATGATTTTCTAGCATCGGAGCCGTTCTCTATACCTCATATTTACAGATGTTAGGGGCCCTCCATGAGCCTGTGTCCCAAGGAGTTAAACGTGTCTGGCCTCCCGCGCCTCCATCAGCCACCTTCACCGCTGGATTTACCGCAGGAACTATTCAATCGATCGTTGCGGCTCCCTTGGATGCCCTACAGGTCCGCCTACAGACCAGTGATATGTTGGAGGGTCAGTACCGGAGTATGTGGCATTATGGTCATCACAAACTGAAACAGATCGGGCTCCGGGGAGTATTTGCCGGCTGGAGCCTCTCCTTTCTACGCGACTCGCTTGGTTATGCCGTGTTTTTCTCCTCCTTCGAATATGTCAAATCGCAGTCGTACTATTCTTTCGTTACTTGGTATTATGGGTCTCTTCATGCCGACCATTTGGATATGCTTCCATCTTCCGGGTCCAGCGATCGAGGCGTGCCGCTTATCAAACCTCATTATGCCCTGGAGCCTTGTTTCTTGATGATGGCGGGAGTGGCAGCATCGGTAGCGCAGCAAGCCATACAGCACCCTCTTAGCCGAATCCAAAACCTACATCTGGGCCGATTAGAGTATCTGGATCACCAGGCGAGCTTAGACCCTTCACGACAACAGATGCTCCGGCTGTACTACCATGCCTACGAAGAGACCTGGAAACGATGCCGACGCAAGGCCGAGCGGGCCGGTGGGTGGCGCTCATGGTTATTCCGCGGCTTTGTGAGCAGTTCCGTCCGACAGGTTCCTAGCACCAGTGCAGGTCTCATCATCTTTGAGCTAGTGCGGCGACGATACGCGAGTCTTGCGGACAGCGTGCACATCCAGAAAGATGGATATGACATTCTACTGAATTAGCGGTTTGAATTTCTTTGATTCGTGCATTTTCATTTGCATCTTGTTTGATCAGGGGTACACCTGGGGGATGAAATGTAGAGCGTGGTCAGTTAGCCTTGCGCAACGCAAGGCACCGAAATTGGGCGCCTCAATCAGGTACAGATATAGAACCTGAGAAGACTCTCCTGTTTGTCCTTTCGCTTTTGAACAAAGAATAATCTGTACATAATCTCGATATCATGGTCATACTTATGGACGCATCTTAAACACCGAGTCCACACTGACGTCTATAGTAGTGGGTATCTTCCCAGTTTTGTAGACGTTCTTGGTTTTCTTCTCCACTGTGGATCTGGTTACCCCGTATTCAATCGACACTTCTTCTCTTCGACTCTTCCTCTTCAATCTGTTCACTACTCCAAACTGGAACCAGACCTATGAGATAGGTCACTCAAGGCCAAATCATTACTCTGGACACATCTGCAACTCGTTTCGCCGTCCTTTCGCCCCTCCATCCCCCTATTGCTTGGGACCACCTATTATATTTCAAGTCAAAGCACCAAATCCCCAAATCCCCAAATCCAAAATCATCTAACCGCAAGTCACGCTCCTCGATATCCACCTGACTACCCAGTCATTAGGCATTGTGCAACTTTACAGCCTATCGCGATCGCTCCAAAAACTTCCCCAAGAAAGGGAAGGTTCTGGTATCCAACTCCCTGTTGCTATTGTACGGGGTTGACACATTCCCTGGGATTTTTTATTTTCCAATTTACTTGATTTGTCGTTGGTTTTGACTGAAAAGAAACGAGGGCTTCCGGCCCATCGACCGTCATCATTCTCTCTCCAACCTCCCCACGCGTCATTCCCCTCCGGTCTCTTTCCCGCTCCCCCACCCAATCCATCGTCCTAGAATCCGCAAGCGAGAAAGGTAGCCGCCGCTCGTCCCACTCATCAATTCATTCTGAGTCTGGCTTCTCCATCTGGTCGGATACCGGCGATCTCGCCGAACGACTCGCGGAGGATCCCTTCCAGAACCGCCCGAACGAGTCCCTCGAGCGTGACTTTTTGGTCCGTAAAGGACGGCAGAACTCCTCCAAGCGGGTACACTACCCGCAAGATTTGGAGACCCATACCACAGCTCTCAAGGAGAAGATTAAAATCCCCACTCCTTCACCACGGCGGATCTCTCGAGTAGAACGGCTCTTAGCCAACATTATGACCCCCAGCAATAGGCAAAATGCCCAAGTTCATGGCTTGGTGGGAAAACCCCTGCTGTAAGTGTCCCCTCGGTCCCCTCCTCGGGACTCAGCGAAAATCACAGTAAACATACTGATGCCTTTGTAGGTATTTCACAAGTGTCTTCGTATCACTAGGAGTGTTCCTGTTTGGTTATGACCAGGGCGTCATGTCCGGTATCATCACGTCCGTATTCTCTACCCCACCCGGTACCCATAGCCCAAGACCCAGTAATATATCTAACCGATAGATAGTGGCTGGTACTTTGATGACTACTTTGACCAGCCCTCGCGGGCCACGATTGGCACTGTGGTGGCCATTTTGGAAATTGGGGCATTTATCTCTTCTCTCATGGTCGGCCAAATTGGGGATCTGATAGGCCGACGAAAGACGATTCTCTATGGTTCATTAGTGTTCTTCATCGGAGGTAGTCTCCAAACCCTGGCTACCAGCATGGCTATGATGATGGTGGGCCGCATTATTGCTGGTTTCGGCGTGGGTGCTTTGTCGACAATTGTGCCCGTGTATCAGTCGGAAATTTCAGTAAGAGTCCCTCCTGACGGCTCACAGGTAATCAAATACTGACCGTACCAGCCTCCCCATAACCGCGGTAAGTTGGCCTGCATTGAGTTCACTGGAAACATCGCCGGATATGCAACCAGTGTATGGGTGGACTACTTCTGTAGCTTCATTGAGTCGAATTACTCCTGGCGGCTGCCTCTTCTATTTCAATGTATCATGGGTCTCGCCCTTGGAATCGGAAGTTTGCTCATCTGCGAGTCTCCCCGGTAGGTCATCCTTCGAGAGTATGAAGTTCCGTGACCTGACATTCCTTTACCTCCAGATGGCTCTTGGACAACGACCATGACGAGGAAGGCATGGTGGTTATCGCCAATCTCTATGGCGAAGGTGACATCCATAATGATAAAGCACGACAAGAATATCGCGAAATTAAAATGGGGGTTCTCCTGCACCGCCAGGAAGGAGAAAGATCCTACGGGGACATGTTTCGCCGCTATAATAAACGAGTTTTCATCGCCATGTCGGCCCAAGCCCTAGCCCAGCTGAACGGCATCAACGTCATTTCGTACTATGCACCCCTTGTTTTCGAATCCGCTGGCTGGGCTGGTCGAGATGCCATCCTCATGACAGGTATCAACGGGATTTCGTATCTTCTTTCCACCATCCCTCCGTGGTACCTGGTTGATGGCTGGGGTCGACGGCCAATTCTACTGTCGGGAGCAGTAGCGATGCTCATCTCTCTCTCCTTGATATCCTACTTCATCTATATCGAGATTAGTGCCACGCCCACCTTGACTGTGATTTTCGTCATGGTCTACAACGCCGCATTTGGGGCGTCATGGGGTCCAATCCCGTGGCTTTATCCCCCTGAGATTCTTCCTTTGAGCATCCGTGCCAAGGGAGCCAGTTTGAGTACCGCGGCCAATTGGGCTTGCAATTGGCTTGTCGGAGAAGTGACTCCAGTTCTACAGGGTGCTATTAAATGGCGACTGTATCTGGTCCATGCCTTTTTTTGCGCATGCAGCTTTGTAGTTGGTAAGAATTTTTTTCCCCATTCCTCCCACCGAATTTGAATAACACGTTGATGGATGCACAGTGTACTTTTTGTACCCCGAGACTAGTGGTGTTCGACTAGAAGATATGAATGTTTTATTTGGGGATGCGTCGACCGCCATGCCCACCCCAGCCACTGATGGTGAGCGAGGATCACTCATTGGTGCTGGATCACCTGTTCCTTCTCTCGATATACGCCGACCATCCGGCCAGTTTGGAAGTGAGAGTGCTATTCCCGGTCTCGATATTGACCCTCCATCTTTAAGTCAGAGCCATGATGGGCCCAGCAAGTCTGGTCAGCCCAATTCTCCCCCGGGTGGGAGTCGAGGTGAAGGAATTGGTGGCTGGATTTCGAATATGGTCAGCCGGCAACGAAGTACTACCAGTCAAAGCTATCGACGCTTGGAACAGGGAGAGGGGGGAAATGAGTGAGATAGGGAATGGTCTTCATGACTCTTCTCTTTCATCTTCACTTGCATCTTGAACCCTCTGAAGTCTTTCCCATTTTTCAATTGAAGGCCCCCGGCCTCGGCTGTTCAATTTGGTCCTATTATCCTCTTCTACTTTTTACGGTTGGGGTAGGCCCTACTTCCACTCTCTTGCACTCTTTATGGAAATCTGTATACCCGACTTGTCTAGCTTGTATTCGGCGACCCTTCTCGAACGGTGTATCTGTCCTTTACATACCTTGCTGCCCTGTCTGGCGTCAAGTCATAGAGGGAGGGAAAGTGCTTCTTTTGTCGATATTGGTCGTGGGGTCGTCTAGACCACTCTTATGTTTGATGGCGAATTTTTTCCTTTCTGCATGTAATTCTGTCGGATCCATCAGCCGCACCGATGGTTTTTGCTACTTCATCTTTCATTATATATACTCTTCGCAATGATACCTCTAGAGCTATAAATGAGACTTGAAAGCTGTGCGACAATTTATCTCGGACCACTCTAATCCATGAGTTCATCTGATCTGGGTTCACCAGTTGGAGGGTTCGGTTGCAATTCCCCAAGGCGGAGAAAGGACCACGTTCCCGGAAACGGCTCAGGAGAAGCGTGTTTATCCCTCCAAACTTCCTTCTCTGTTTTCTATTTCTTTCTCCTCTTTTTATTCTCTCTTCCTCTTCTCCAAGCTCTCTCTTTTCTTTCCTTATATCATTCTATTGCTCCCCCCTTTCCGTGCTTGCGGCAACCCCGTTAGCTTTGTTCAGGCCTTTGTGGCCACTATGACCTTTTGAGTCTCTGCTACTCTTCCTCTCCTTTCCCATCGGGCTCCTTCGAGTACTCCTACGACCTTGATCGTTCGCCCAACAAGAACGTTTCTTTGATCAAAAAAAACTTTCCCCGACGCCATGGCTGACACAGCCATAAGTACCGGGGCTAAACATGATTCTGACTTACGTCGGAGAAATGTCCCAGATACCGCCAAACCCCAGACGCCTGTGCCTTACACCGCAGAGGATGTTAAGAAGCAAAAGCCACAGGTAGGAATTGATAATAGCCCACTCCTTGAACCTGCTAATTGAGGGTTTGGGGCCAGTCTACTTCTTTTCTCCAGGTACTAGCCAGCTGGGAGCCAATTCTGGCCCCCATCATCCTAACGGCTCTTGCCCTCTTTACTCGACTTTACCGCATTGGTCGTTCCAACATTGTGACCTGGGATGAAGCCCAGTAAGGATCCATGAATCCCTCAATTTTCTAGTTCCCCCGCGACAGTTGTCTAACTTCATCCTCATAGCTTTGGCAAGTTCGGTTCCCACTACCTAAAGCGCGAGTTCTACTTCGATGTCCACCCCCCCCTCGGAAAGATGCTTGTTGGCCTCTCGGGCTACCTTGCTGGCTACAACGGATCCTTTGAATTCAAGTCCGGTGAAAAATATCCCGAAGACGTGAACTACACCTTCATGCGCGCCTTCAATGCTTTGTTTGGTGCTATTTGCGTTCCCTTAGCCTACTACACAGCCCGCGAGTTGAACTTTCGCAAGGCTACCGTATGGTTGATCAGTCTGATGGTTCTGTTTGAGAACTCGTACGCTACCATTTCTCGCTTTATTCTCTTAGACTCCATGCTGCTTTGTTTCACCTTCACAACCACTTTGTGCTGGGCCCGATTCCACCGCCTCCAGCGTGAAAGCTTTTCACTGCAGTGGTATATCTGGCTTTGCCTGACTGGATTGAGCATTGGGTGTGTGTGCAGCGTGAAGTGGGTCGGCTTCTTCTGCACCGCCATCGTCGGTCTCTATACCATTGAGGACCTGTGGAATAAATTCGGCGATCTGAAGATGCCTCAGGTGAGTATTGGCCAGTCTGCCAAAAACAGGATGATTGGCTAACAGGTCATTTGTTAGACCGTGCTGGCGAAGCACCTCTTTGCTCGTGTTGGAGGTTTGATTGTCATTCCAATTCTGGTGTATATGGCTTCTTTCTATGCGCACTTTTTGGTTCTGTCGAACAGTGGACCAGGAGATGCCCAGATGAGCTCCCTTTTCCAGGCCAACCTGCGAGGCACTGAGGTTGGCAGAGATAGTCCCCTCGAAGTCGCAATTGGATCCCGTGTGACCTTGAAGAACATGGGCTATGGTGGTGGCCTCCTGCATTCCCATGTCCAAACATTCCCCGAGGGCTCAAACCAGCAGCAGGTTACTTGTTACCATCATAAGGACGCAAACAATGACTGGTTTATCTACCCCAACCGACAAGAGGCGGAATATGATGCCGAGGGAGATTTGAGATTCATTGGCGATGGAGACACCATTCGTCTCATTCACGGGCAGACCGGCCGGAACCTCCACTCTCATGCAATCCCCGCTCCAGTTACCAAGTCCCACCACGAAGTCTCTTGCTATGGAAACCTTACCATTGGAGACGATAAAGATCACTGGAAGGTTGAGGTCGTCGATGATGCTGCCTCCCGGGATCGCTCCCGAATTCGGACGTTGACGACTGCATTTCGACTCCGCCATCCCGTGCTAGGCTGTTACCTGCGGGCTGGAAATGTCAACCTGCCCCAGTGGGGCTTCAAGCAGATCGAGACCACCTGTGTCAAGGACAATAAGCCAGGCGATGTCTACACCCACTGGAACGTGGAGTCGCACACCAATGAGCGCTGTAAGCAATATATCACTTGGTAAAGTGTAACTACTGAGAAAAGCACTCTCTCTAACCTCAATGACACAGTGCCTCCCGGAGATCCTGGCTCCTACAAGTCGCCTTTCCTGAAGGATTTCATCCACCTAAACGTGGCTATGATGACATCCAATAACGCCTTGGTCCCTGACCCGGATAAGCAAGACGACTTAGCTTCTGCCTTCTGGCAATGGCCGATTCTGAATGTGGGCTTGCGCATGTGCTCATGGGATGACGGTGTTATTAAGTACTTCCTTCTCGGAAATCCCCTTGTGTATTGGGGCAGCACAGCAAGTCTTGGTGTTTTTGGTTTGTTGTTAGTGTGGTACCTTCTTCGCTGGCAACGAGGTTACCAGGAGCTCAGCCAGGCGGATATGGATCACATCCACTACTCGGGTCTGTACCCTGCCATCGGCTGGGTCTTGCACTATCTGCCATTCATCATCATGGCACGTGTGACTTACGTCCACCACTACTATCCAGCTCTATACTATGCTATTATCACGTTCGGCTTCTGCATTGACTGGATCTCCCGCAGCCTGAATGCTCGCCTCATGGTCATCCTTTACACCGCCCTATACGTGACTGTCATTGGACTATTCATCTACTTCCGTGCCATTGTGTTTGGAATGGAAGGTCCTCATCAGCAGTGGGCTTACTTGCGTTGGTTGTCTGGTTGGCGGATTTCGAACTAATGAATAGTGACAATGGAAGTCCATTTTCTTATGCCCCCCTTTTCTTTTGGGATGGTGGGGTGGGGTGTTTTGACTCGTTTTTGTTATCCATTCTCAAAGTCCAAAGAAGACTGTATGTACGAGAGACTGCCTATAAACGGCGAAACCATAATGTTGATGTGTTTCCTTACATGGATTTGTTTCATCGCGCAATCTTAACCCTAAACTTGGTCTATTCAGCTGGACCCGGATCAATAGCCCTGCAAGGCGCTCAAGATTTGCTGCGTCTGGCGTCTTATGCGGTTGCATCGTAGTAATACTCCTAGCAACAGCCTCCGCTCCAGCCACTACCTTTGCGCATTGCATCATCCATGCCCAAGGTAATTGTTTTAGGCACCCCGGTGTTACCTCCCCCCGAAGCGCCAAACCCTTTCACTCCGCTGCGACGGTCATTAAGGTCATATCTGCCGGCTTCGATGTTACGATAGATTCGCTCCGCGACTTCCAAAAAGGCTCGTTCCACCCCATCCCCGGACTTGGCGCTGGTTTCGACGTAGCGAACAATATTGTTCATGCGACACCACTCCTCGGCCTCCTGCTGCGTTACTTGTCTTTGGTTCGAGCCAGACTCATGTCCTGCCAAGTCGGTCTTGTTGCCTACTAGAATGACCACGATTCCATCTTCTGCAATCTGCCGTAAATCTTGAAGCCACTGAGTACAGGAGATGAAGGTTGAGCGTCTTGAGATGTCGAAAACAAGGAGAGCCCCTGACGCGCCGCGGAAGTATGATCTGGTGATAGACTTGTATGTTTCCTGTCCAGCAGTATCCCACAATGAAAGTTTCATTCGCTTTTGAGGAGAAGAAGACTCAGGCTTCCGTGGCGGGCTGGGTAGACCCGACGTTGCGGACTCCGATGGAGATGGGTCTCCACCGGAGCCGGACGCGTCGCGAGAGAACTCCTCAATGCCAAGCTCTAGCGAGGCAGGTGGCCCTACTGGCACAATCCTGGACCCAAACTCAACCCCGATGGTGACATCGTGCGATGGGGAGAAGCGACCCTCACAGAGACGGATGGTGAGCTTTGGAATTATTCAAGTTAGCTACACCCAACGCAAGCCATGCATCATACTCACGCTAGACTTGCCGGTACCAGAGTCACCGATGCAGACGAGCTTAGCAATATAGTCCCATGGCTGGGACATGGAGGAAGAAGTATCGTGTATTGTTGCCCAACTGTAATTGCGATGATGCAGTTTCAGGGAGTGGAATGTTATCAGGATGAGTCAGCTATCGGGGGGAAGACCTGCCCGGATGACGCTTGCATCGTCTGAATGACCTTTTGTTCTCTCTCTCGCTCTCACTTTTGATTTGGCCTTCAACTTAGTCTTCATAAGAGGGGTAGGGACTGACCTGAGAGTCAAGGTGACCTCGTTTCCTCATTAACTCATACCGAGACCTTGACTGCCCTTTTTCCCTTTGGCCCAGGCACATTTGCCAGAGATACAATAATCTCCCCCATCTCCACACATACTCCAATCTTCCCGATAGTGGGCCATGTTCTCGGAATGTAGGTGATGGATATCGGGCCTTCGTCACACCTTTTAACATCATTCGGCTCAAACTAACCGTCAAATTTTTTTGTCAGATGCCTCACGCTTCCTCGCCCAGTCACAGTCGCGAGTAGCATCTCGTCCAGACGAACTTCAAAGAACTGGCCGTGCCCACCCTAACCAGCGTCAGGGCAGTTCACGGAATCCGCCGTCACGCTCCTTTTTAAGGACTGGGGATCCTTATCGGCCTGGTGCTTCTCAGATCTCCAACTTCCCATTTGCCTCCCGGGTGTCAGCCCAGCAAGCTCCTCTGTTCTACAGTGCCACGGATGAGTTTCGGGAAGAAGACGATGAAACGGAGCGTGAGCGTGAGATTGCCGATTTTTATGCATTACAAAGATCACGGCGACACTTTGGAGACAGTCACTTGAAAGAGTCCTCTGAACTTGATGATGATTCAGAACGCTCGGTAGGATTTGACGAGGGTCACTTGCCATACGACGAAGATCGCCCCGGCAATGGGAAGGGAATCAAGAGCTCATGGCGAGGGGAGAAAGGCGCTTCCGCTCCTCATCGATCTCGGATCGAAGCTGTGGCAGAACTGACAGAGCTAGAACCGGGGCCTAGTTCCAGCCCAGACAATGCTAAAGTCCGAGAGAATCTGGTTGACATAGGACTAGAGGACTCCATTCGAGATATCCTGGATCAGGATGACCGAGGCCCTTCTGATTACCTAGGTGATGAACCGCCTATCCAACGCTTTCGAGAAAGACCAGTATCCAAGCGAGATCACTTTGGGCTTAATCGGTTCGAAGCTTCTGCGGAACATGCCAAACCACTTCCCTCTAATGGCCCGCGACCACCGAGCTCGGCAGGTTCATTTCCGACGTCTATCTCGCCGCTCGCATCTGAAGCCTCTGTACATGATTCCTTTTGGGGTCAGTTGTTTTTGATATCCCTTGCCGGTCTATTTGCCACGGCATTTCTTGTCTATTTACACACGTCCACTCCATCCGGAGATCAGCGGAAGTGGGGGGACACGATCTACTTCACTGTCCACCGCTCTTTTTTTCTGCTTGGAATTTATACCCTGATCTCGATCTTCGTGTCGCTTGTTTGGCTTGCTTTGCTGCGATCCTACGTGCGACTTCTAGTCTACCTAATTATCGTCGCTGTCCCCGTCATTTTATACTCATTCTCCTTATACCCCTTTATCTCGAGCTTCAAGGGTGAATGGCATGGGTCTAGTGTTCAGGACAAGGCCATGCGCTGGGGCTCACTTGTCCCATTCCTGATGGCGAGCCTCTGGATTTACAACGTTGTGCAGGGTCGTCAGTCCATCGGCAAAGCGATCGGTGTGCTTGAATTCTCCTGTCGCATTCTGGCTGCGAATCCGGAGCTTCTTGCCTTGGGACTAGGTGTGCTTGCTTGTGTCGTCTCATGGACCTGGATATGGATGCTCATGTTCACCCGCGTGTTCCTGGGAGGCCACCTGGCTCAATCAAGTTCCTTCATTATAGACATAAGCAGTTGGTGGCTGGGCGTTTATTTTGTGATAGTCTACTTGTGGTCAATTGGCGTGATAGCTGGTATCCAGCGTGCCGTCACGGCAGCCACGGTCAGTCAATGGTATTTTCACAGACTAGCAAGTCCAGCACCCACCTCCAGACAAATCGTCCACGCTGCCATCGTTCATGCTGCCACGACACTGTTCGGTACGATCTGTCTGTCTCGACTTCTCAGTCTATTGATTCGGCTCCCTCTGCTCTTGCTCCCCAGCCGCGTATCTTCGTTGCTGAGTCTCTTTGCCTACTCCCTTATTCCAAGTCCCATTGCCTTTCTCACCAACCCCCTCGCCCTCACCTATGGAGCCATCCATTCACAGCCACTGGCCGCCTCTGCACGCGGACTGAGCCAGATGGCGGTTCTTGCTCCGTCGGCCGCTTCATCGTCACTTCATCCCCGAGCCTATTCTCGCTCACCTGAGGCCTCGGCTTCACTACTCTCCTACCGACTCTCTAAGCTGATCCTCCACGCTGCACGCTTCATGATGTCATTAGCGTTGGGGTTTGGTGGCTGGGTCACCACTGCCCGTAGCCTGACCACTGTCGCTACCGGCAATACGATTCGGGGTAGTTTATATGCCTATGTCGTTGGTCTTATTGCGGGCATGATTGGCTGGAGTATCCTTGGTGCCATGGAAAGTGTCATTGCAGACATTGTGGATGCTTCAGTGATCTGCTGGGCGAGTGAGGTAGGTATTCACGGACGTGAGGCCCGGTATTGCCGTGAGGCTGGATGGCTCTTTGGTGACTCAAATTCCGATTTCCAATCTGATTATCGAGAAGTCTGATTTCCATTTCCATTTTCATTTTCATTATCTTTTTTTGGTTTTTTGATTTTTTGATTTGTTTTTCTATAAGCTGAGGTCTCTGGAAGATTTCATCTGGTGTTTTATCTTTCTCTTCTCCAATGCCCCATTGATGATCACGACATGTTCCCCCTATACTTGAGCGACCTTTTGACATTGCAATTCACCTAGCGACTGGACTGATGGGCTGGAGGCGTTTAATGAAATCTCTTATCTTTTGAATGGAATTTGTAGACATGTAAAGAATCATCTGTATTGAACGTGATATATTCAAGCATCGAAATAGCTACATTGGAACGGAAATTCCAGGGCTTCATGGTATCATAGGAATGAAATCACTCGAAATGCAAAAGAACCCCACGGACGCCTAAGATTACCCATTGCTTTCGCCAAAACAGAAAAAGGGATATAGAGAACGGAGAGTAGAAAGAGAAAATCCAAAGACCAAACAGCTCCTGGTGCTAAAGACCCAAGCGACCATTCCACTCCACCTTCTCATGTGTGCACCACTCTTGGAGAAGAGACCAACCAAAGCGAACCACCTCGATAGGCGAAGTGGTCCCTCCTAATGGAAGGAAGTAATCACCGGCATAATCCCCAGGTCTGGGAGTGGCTTTGCCTCGTTCACCATGGTTATGAGACCGCAAAGACCAGGTATTGGGGAACTCTGTGCTCAACACATCCTCGGAGAGACTGCGAGTGCCCTCTAGCCACAGTTTCTGTGATTCTTTCCAACATTCAGGGAGCCGATTCTTCAGCTCGAGGAATTCTTTCCGGCTTTTCTTGTTTTCATCGGACAGGACGGTATTTCCATCACTCCCGGGCGTCGGCACCGGTGTATGTTCGCCCGGTAAAGGGCTGACGGCGAGGCGTTCAAGGTCCAGGGAATGAATAGCTCCATAGGATACAGCGCCCAAGAGCAGACAGAGGCCGTGCAGTACTGGATATGAGGTACTGTTCTTCCTCACGACCTGCCAGTATGCCAAGATAGATTGCCAGGTCGAGGAATCCCCGACTTGCCGGGTATGAACCTTACATTGATCATCCGCCACGAATGCAACAATGAAACCCATGATAGCCTCGATGGCGGTCACGGCTGCTAACTTTTCATCGGCGCTGGACGAATCAGGCTTGGCATTGTACCGGACTGCAGCATGCTTTAGTTCTCGGCCAATGTTGGTGAATCGTTGGAACTCGTCCCGCCAAGCCCGTCGATCACGATCAGTGTTTCGAGAACGACCGTCCAACTGAGATGGAGATCCCCTGGTGCCGGGGTCGATAGAATGGCGTTTGGTGGTCGGGTTCACCGGTGTCCTTCCTTCGCCTTCCCCAAGGTCGTTTCGTCGTGGAAGCGAGGCTTTGGCATCCTTCACCGGTGTCAGTAACATGGGCTTCACCTTGTCATTGACCGGCAAATGACGAGACGGATTTAGTGGTGGGGTAGGAAGCTTCTCGACGGAGCATTTGGGTTCTTTTGATCGGCTAACCCCCGAGCTAGACAGTTCTTCCTCATGCTTGCTCTTAGGCTTTAGTCGATCAGAAGAACCATTCCCACGCGTGGACCCGCTTTCCCCCTTCTTCTTTTTCTCCACTGGGGTCTCATCTGGGTCTATGCCATGCCTAGACGGGGATTCAGGCCGATTAGATTTCCTTTTACCGGAGAATTTAAGTAATGCTTCGATCCGTTTCTTGTTGCCCTTCCCGTATCGCAATCTGACAATCATCTCCTGATTAGTTTCCTTGGGAAGAACACCCATACGACCATTCTGTAGACTTGAAAATGTGCCACTATTGGTCGAATTCGGTGTTCTGGTCTGCGCTGCTTCGTCTCGCTTCAGTTTGGATGTTATGGTGTCACGTTTAGGGGAGTGACGAGGCGGCGAACGATCTCCGAGCCGAGCCAGCTCTTTCTCAACATCTGGCGGGAGTGTGGGGGATAATAGTCGGGGTAATTTAGGTCCCGTAGGAGGAAGTGTCGGGGACAGAAGCGCGGGGAGTCTCGGTGAATTGGATTTGGTTGGGGTGGGATCCCTGCGGACCTCCTTCTCCGGAGAGAGTCGTCGCTTTTTGAATGAATGCATATCCTGGCCTCTGGTCGCCGAGGAACTGACAGTTTCGAGATCAGACGTAGACGGTCGTTTCTTGGGCCCCTTCTCAAGCGAGACTTGCGATTGTGATTTGGGAGGGTAATGAGGTGGCTCGGCCTTGTCGCTCTTTTTTACAAGGCCAGTCTTAGGTGTCTGCTGTACTTCCTCACGTGTAGCCGGGTAACGTCCTTCCCGATTCTTCTGGTCATGAACGGCCGGGGAAGGGCTGCTGTTCTTTTGGTTCTTGTAGTCGTTCAAGCTAATCTTCTTTCTGGCGATGTTGTCTTTCGGGGTTTCTGCGGTCGTCGGCGCCGTGGACCGGTCGGCCATCATGCGCCCCTTCTCGTCAGACCAGTCTCCAACAGCCTTCAGTAATGAGTCTGTATCACTGTGGGTCAGAAAGGTCATGTATTGAAGCTCCTGTTCCTCGGGGGTGAACGGCCGGTCATGTCCTACCGCCCAATTGTTCGCGGAGCGGGGACCCAGGCGAAATGGCACCTTCGTCGGGAGGGTCAAGAGGTAGGGGTGAGGAGGCAGCACGTCGTCTGAGAGGTGCTTCAATCGCTGGTCCAGGCTCTGAAGGTCCGCAGCAGGTTGGCTTGCGCGTAGGGAGATTGTTACGTCCACAGAGGGGGGTTGATCGTTCACCGACATCGCAGTCCGCGGGAAATCGTGATTTATCTCACCATTGATGGAGGACTGCGCGCGCGCTTCGATTCGTCAAGGGTCTGTGGGAGGAGGGGGGAAGTATCACGGGAAGCACCGTGGTATGCGCCAAAGTGATGGGGGCGGGTCAAAGCATAGAGATCGAGTGGAGGGGTAGCGGCCTCGAGCAGGCTCATCAGGGCTCTCGAAGCGCGCGAGGAAAGGAAGAAGTAGCAGGATAGAGAGCTGAAAGAGAAAAAGTGGCCGATGAGAGAAAGAGCGAAAGAGCAAATGGGGGGAGTCCGGGGTTGCCCTTTCAGGTATCCACGCCTTGCCGCTTTTAAGGGCTCCACTTGGTGTCAACAAAGTTTGATTTTCTATATAACCTACGGTACTGTAGAGATCATGTACCTATCATGTATCATGATCGATCATCTGCCGCAAACTTCTCTCGCCAGAACGCACGATAATGGTGCTGTTGACCCAGCTGGGATATCTCCGCTACCTCTTGAGGAGTGAGTTTGAAGGTCATGGAGCGCAGGTAACTCGCCAGACGTGCTTCCTTATTACTGGTGGTGATTGCCACGCATCCACGGTCCAGAGTCCAGCGCAAAAGGACCTCCGACTCACTCACGGCGTACTTTGTAGCTAGAGCTGATATTAAGGGATCCAGGGGGCCTTCGCGAGCCCGAGTAACCGGTACCAACCCTCCATAGCCAAAGGTCTTGATCCCTTTACTCTCGTGGAACGAGAGTAGGTCTCCATGCTGAAGATATGGGTGAAATTCGATTTGATTCACCGCGGGAATGACTTTGGCAGTCTTCAAGATGGATTCCAGATGGGACTGTACGAAATTCGACACTCCAATAGACCGAGCTTTCCCAGAGGCCTTAACTTGCTCCATGGCCGCCCAGGCCGCCTGAAGTTCACTCTCAGTCTTGGCAAAGAAGGGAGCGTGAATCAAGTATCTGGATTCAAGCTCATTAGTTTCGATTCTGTTCCCGCTCCTACGAATGGCGGCCAGGTCCCTTACAAATCGACGTAATCAAGCCGCAGCTTTTTCAAGCTGACGTCAATCGCAGCGGAAATATCGGCGATACTGGTATGGACCTTGGTGGTCACGAAGTGACTCTCTCGAGGCCGATTGGCTTCCTGGATAGCAAGGCCTAATTCTTCTTCTGTTCTGTAGACCTCGGCTCCATCGAGGTGGTTATACCCTAACTCGATCGCATTCTTGGCTGCATCTACCAGTTCACGATTGATCTCGGTGTCTTGGGAGCTCTTGTACCACGCCGTTCCTGTCCCATATCCAAGCTATACGCTGATTAGCCGCCTAGTATCAAGAAAGAGGGCGGTAGGGTTGAGCTTGACTTACAATGGGAACGGACGTCCCATCATTGAGTCGAGTCGTCGGGATTTCGTTGACCATGATGTATCCAATGTACGCGTTGGCAATGTGTCAAGGTGAATTCGACATTTCGCAGATTCCAGATGAAGCGGGCCCAGCGGGTCAGTTCCGCATGGAGTAACAGTGCGGGAGTTTGCAAATGATGTCATTCGTGCCGCTTTGACGTGGTTTTCCCCTCGGATTGTCGGATCCTCACGAACACAGGTCAACTTCCTCCATGTATTCGGGATCGATTTGTTCGGTCCGGTCATTCCATTCACTCCGCACTCGTTCTTGGGTTGGAAATCATATGTCCAGGCGGACCCTTCAACCGAGTTGGAACCGATTGAATCAAATGGCATTTCACCTCTCTACCCACGGGTCCTCCCTAGCAGACCTGCCGAAATCCAACGTATTTACATCCAAATTGCCTGCAGATCCGGCCTTTGAGACCCCAGAATCCTCACACAATGCGCCCCGGGAAACATTAGGACCTCGTATGGTGAAAGGCGCTTTGTTCACCTATGTCCGCCCGGAACCCACCGAGGGGCCAGAACTCCTGGGCGTGAGTCCCAAGGCAATGGAGGATCTAGGATTAAAGACCGGTGAGGAGAAGACTGCACAGTTTCAGGCGTTGGTTGCGGGTAATGAAATCTGGTGGGATGAGGAAAAGGGGGGCATCTATCCATGGGCCCAATGCTACGGCGGTCAGTGATCCATCCCTTTCCTATAGTCTGAGAAAGATATTGATACTGGTTCTGAGAATGTAGGTTGGCAATTGTAAGTGACATCCGCGTCCAGCTTATTGAAATGACAACCTGACCCTTCACAGTGGTTCCTGGGCTGGTCAGCTTGGAGATGGAGTATGTCCAAGTTTCTTTCTGCATTTTCTTGTCGCCGGACGCGCTAATGAGGTCTGTATAGCGGGCCATCAGTCTTTTTGAATGTACCAATCCACAGTCAGGTACTCGATATGAATTGCAGCTGAAAGGCGCGGGGAAGACGCCGTATTCACGGTTTGCCGATGGAAAGGCAGTTCTTCGATCGAGTATTCGTGAATATATCGTCTCAGAAGGTGCTGCCTTGCTTCCCCCCTTTGTGGTCGAATTTAGAAACTAAATATAACCCAGCTCTCAATGCCCTTGGCGTTCCTACCACCCGTGCTCTGTCTCTGACTCTGCTACCCAAGTCAAAGGTTCTGCGGGAGCGCCAAGAGCCCGGTGCGATTGTGGCTCGGTTTGCCGAATCTTGGCTACGCATAGGAACCTTTGATATTCTAAGGGCTCGTGGCGATCGCGACTTGATCCGAAAACTTGCCACCTACGTCGCAGAGGATGTCTTTGGCGGATGGGATAATCTTCCCGCGATCGTATCCGTACGAGAAGGCCAGTCGGCCTCAGAAATCGATAATCCTCGACGACAGGTACCCCGGGATGTAGTGCAGGAGCATCAGGGGTCCGAGGAGAACCGGTTTGCTCGCCTCTATCGCGAAATCACTCGACGCAACGCAAAGACCGTTGCCGCGTGGCAGGCTTATGGGTTTATGAACGGTGTGCTCAACACTGATAACACCTCCATTTACGGCCTGTCCCTTGATTATGGTCCCTTTGCATTCATGGATAACTTTGACCCTCAGTACACCCCCAATCATGACGATGCCATGTTAAGGTACTCTTACAAAAACCAACCTAGCATCATCTGGTGGAACTTGGTTCGACTGGGTGAATCCCTAGGGGAACTGCTGGGTGCCGGGAAGAAAGTGGATGACGAGAGTTTTGTCAAAGACGGCGTCACCGAGGAGATGGAACCGGAGCTTATCAAGCGTGCGGAAACCATCATCGACCGTACTGGCGAGGAGTTCAAGGCAGTCTTTTTGAACGAGTACAAGCGCCTCATGGCTCAGAGACTTGGACTGCAGACACAACAAGAATCCGACTTTCAAACCCTCTTCTCCGAGATGCTCGATACACTAGAAGCCCTGGAGCTGGATTTCAATCACTTTTTCCGCCGTCTCTCGGGGCTGAGTCTCTCCGAACTGGAGACCGAAGACCAGCGGACCGAAGCCGCAGCCCTCTTCTTCCATGCAGAAGGCTTCGGAGGCATTGGTTATACTGATGCATCGGCCAAAGATCGTATTGCCAAATGGCTAGACAATTGGCGAGCCCGCGTGCTCGAGGACTGGGGAGATCAAGATGCTGAACGACAAAAGGCCATGAAGGCAGTCAATCCAAAGGTAAGACTTCCTGCAACCTTGATTTATATCAAATATCTAACTCTATTTTCTCGTATTAGTTCATCCCGCGGGGATGGATTTTGGATGAAATTATTGAGCGTGTGGAGCGCAAGGGAGACCGAGAGATACTAGGACGGGTCATGCAGATGAGTCTGAACCCATTCAATGATGAGTGGGGTCTTCTAAAGGAGGAAGAGGAGCGCTTCTGTGGCGATGTGCCCAAATACAAGAGGGCAATGATGTGTAGTTGTAGTTCATGATCTGAGTTGGCCTTCGAAATTAATAAAGAGATGGGAGAATCAATATGCATTTCCCCATGCACCTAAGTATCTCCTGTAAAGCGCCCCAAAGAAAGCCATTCCATGCACACCCATTTTATTTTGCAAGCAGAATCGCCCCGTTGCACCCACGTGTCTGGTTAGACATACAAGGATTAGACTGCAAGAGGAAGAAAAGCAACATGCAAGACGCCCATGGTCGTGTTTCAAGCCGTGAGTGATAGTACAAAGTCAAAAGAACGGGGAAAGAGACATTTCAGATCGTGGCGCATGTGAAGTTATCGTTGGTTTGTGGAAAAATCCCTCGGGAAAGCACAGAACGAAAAAAAAAAAGACACCAGTTCTCCACCATTTTAGTTGGGGCACGCAGCCTGGACGTGACCGGGCTGCTTGCACTTGTAGCAGACACGCTCACCCCGGGCCTCGGTGGTGCAGTCACGGGAAACGTGGCCAACCTCGCCGCCTGTGATGCTTGATTAGAGTCTTGATTGTGTGAACCGAGGAAGAGCACTCACAGTTGTAGCACTTCTGTCCCTGAGTGCAGTCACGGGCCATGTGGCCAAATCCGCCACAGGAGTAGCAGGTCTGGGGACGTCCGCCGTATGAGGAGTTGAAACCACCACCGTTGTAGTTACCACCCTGGGAGCAGTTACGGGCAATGTGGCCAACCTGACCACACTTGTAGCACTCCTGAGAACCACCACCAGGGGCACCACCGAAGTTACCGCCGGCGCTGCCAGCCTGGGGGCACTCGCGGGAAAGGTGACCAGTCTGGCCACAGCGGTAGCAGGTACGCTCCTTGGGGGGGTTGGGGCACTCGCGGTCTAGACCTTGTTAGTCCGGTCTTCTGCATTCCTTCCCACGCTATGGTCCATCAGTATGAACTTACTGACGTGACCCTCACCACCACAGTTGTAGCTATTAGGAATATGTTAGCATTCAAAGTTTGTTATTCTGTCAAATATTAGGTACCGCAGCATACCAGGTAGGGGTTCCCTTCTTGGGGCAGTCCTTAGCCTAGAAGACAAGGGGTCAGTCTTCCACTCCGATATCAATTGAACCACTATCCAGATCACATTTCCCTGGTACAAGTACCTATGGGATCGGGGAAGGGTGGGTGTATCTTTACCTGGTGAGAGGCGTCACCGCCTACGAAGAAAAAAAAAAAGTCAGTCAAAAACTAGCCTGGTTGGTGCACATGTGCCTAGTCAAGTTGCAGATAAAAGAGGCGGATGGAAATCAAATGAACAAAAGCACAGGAGAGGAAGCATTTGATATGGTATCAAGTCACCCAGAACTGAAAGTTCTATCTCCTGCGCTTACTGTGCGGGTCATAGGCGAGCAGAGAACGGCAGGCAAGGAACGAGAAACGCACAGTTGTAACAGGCACGAGAGCGAGGATCCATTGTGATGGTTGGGTATTTGACGAAAGAAAAGGATTTTTTTTTTTTTCGGTTTGGTTAGGTAGAGAGAGAAGGTGGAAGAGGTTGAGAAGGAAAGAAATTTGTAGTGCGGGGGCCTTGTCTAAGGGAGAAAACTTCCCGCGCAAAGATTTCGGTGCGGGATTGAGATCTGGAACCGGGAAAGCCACCAACTTTGCAGAGAGGTAATATTTGGGACAATGTAAGGCAAGAGGGAAGAAGAAAAGAGTAGGACTGAAAACACCTTCAGATCCTGCATATATCTGCATAATGAAGCCAAATACTTCCTCCACATCTAGAACCTCATTTCCACAGCTCTTCTTCATGCCACATTCCATAGATCTTCCACCTCCTGGGACCCTCACGTTAAATATATTCATGGATGAGCCTGCTGGAATTTCCATCATACCGAACCCCATTGTGAGACCTGGCCATGTAAGACCAGGGCCATATAGGCCATAGGGCTAAATGGTCAAGATCCTGCTTCTGCTCTGTGAGGAGCCCACCAAGGCAGTCCCAGAGGGACTGAGCATCACGGTCCCTCAAAAGCCCATTAGGTCTCAAGCGAAGGGTTCAAAGTGGAAATTATAGAGAGTCAACTTTGACCATGATCGGTTGAAATGGCACTGAATCCGCTCCCTGTAAATGCCGACCATAGCATTGAACATGTCGCAACCGAAGGCACTGGGAGGAGCACGGGGGTGCTTAAGGAAGGGAAGGGAGACAAAAAAAATAAAAATAAAAAAAAGAGGCGACACCGGAAGATTGGTGTGCAGTTCGTCTTATACCTGGAGGCGACACCAAGTGCTGCCGGGGTCCCCGGTTCCTGAGTACCTTGTGCTACGCCGGTCCTTGGACCTGCGTTAGTGCTTCTCATACATTGATTGGGCTTTCGCAAATCTCCGAAAGGCACAAAAATTCATCTTTCTACGTCACTGCATCCCAAGATGTTATGTGAAATCATAACATTCTAGCAGTTGGGTGCCGACCGTCTTCTCCCTGAGTAGAAGAACTCGCTCCTCGTCGAATTCAATACATTCACGCATACAACCATGAGGTGTGCTGGAAACAGTATCCAACCCAGCGTTGTCTTGCGGTATGCTTTTGGTTTTGGTTTCCAGTTGTCGATTGTCAGGACTGACTTGAATACTGCTCTCTTCTTTTAATGGTCTGCGACTGCCCAGAGAAGGAACAGTTGTTTCAAGCTCCCAGATTCGAATCTCATTGCCCAGTGAATTCACAGAGACTGCCTTCCCTCGATTGGTCACTTGGACCGTCGAGACCGAAGACGTGTGGCCCCAGAGTCGTCGGCCACCTCGGACAAAAAGACTGTCGGAATTTGAGACAAGCAGATACATGGTCAGGGTGTTATCCGCGTGCGATGTTAGCAGATATGGATGGGAATAGGACATGGATGTTGGCGGCTGCTGGTGCAATATGGATGGTTCGGTAGGGGTCACAGATGAAGATGAATACATCGGGTCAAGGGTGGCGGAATGCCGGCGTTTATTGGACGGTTTAAGACGTTGGAGTGGACGGATGCCGTACTGAGAATCTACCGTAGTAGTGAGTCGGGATTCCAATTGGTGACCATCTTTATTGAACCGCAGCTCTTGGATCCCTAACGACCAACCGCACCCAATGTGATAGAAACTGTATACAATGGTGGCCACAATCTCAAATGTCGAAACGCGGAGAGAAAGGGTCATTGGGGCGACCATGTTTTCCGCTTGGAGGGACGCAATTTCACACGGCCCTACGGAGTCTTGAGTTTCCTCGGTAGACCGAGTGCGAAGGTCATACAAGGAGAGAATCTTATGTTGAGAGACCATCAAGACATAAGGTGATGACAAAGCCATGGCGGTGATGGCACCATCTCTGAATCCAATGTGGGAGGATCGTAGACCCAACCGGCATGTCCGAACATCATATACATAACGATTGAAGCGGCCATCCTCAAATCCTACAACGATTTCTTGTTCATCTGACAGCTGACTCACTGCCAAGGAGGTGGGGCGAGCCATAGAGCCCTTTGACTCCGAAGGTGAGATGCCAGACAAGCAGCTGGTTGGGTCTTTTGCGGCCCACGCTCGAAGCCCATGAGCAGCATCAACGGTGAAGACGATGCCGGCACAGAGTTTGACCAGCACATCAGGGCAGGGTGGTGCAAGAAATTCGACTTCAGTCACTCGGCAGGATCCATTGGACCAATTGTGCCGTAGGCGGTATTGTCGTTTCCAATTAGTTACCTTTCCCTCTTCAGCCAGATGGCTGTGATCGAGCCAGGTGGAGACTCGAGGCGAATACTCTGCCCGAGCTGGTAATGCCGTGGGTCTGGAATAAGCTAAACGACGGGCACGAGGCCGCACCCACTGTGAGTAGTACTGTCGCTTCCAGAGTTCGGAGTCTCCACCAAGAGCATGAAATCGGTGAGATAATCTAGATATTCAGCAACTTTGATCTGTCTCCCAGAAAAAAAGCATGACAAACCTTTGGCACACATTCAGCGATGATATCGAAAGAAACGAAAGGATATGTAGTAAAAGTTCGTTACTCAAAGAAGATAGGCGATCGACCGGAATCGTTGTCACATCTCGATTCCGCTTTGAGGATGCCAAATCTGACGGTGAACTTTCCCTCAGACGTTTGGGCATACTGCTGGGTCGTTTTAAGACCCATGAAACACATTAAAACATGCAAGTGTTTGGTGGGGAGTACATTGAGAAGCCTCGCGCTACGTTCCAAGGACCCCCCGATAAGGGTCACGTGCGATAAACAAGGCGGTCAGGGTATTACCCGTTGGGACGCGTCGCAACCCGCGTTTCCCTCCTATGGAACTTTTAGTAAGGACGAGACATACATTCCCATGGATATCCTGAAGGAGCTCCATGTCTCCATCACAGAGGCATGTGAGTCCTCTTTTGATCAGGCTTTCCAGAACCTACAGTCTAAACTTGCCATCCATCAAACCAGTCTGACGGAGGCTAAGAATGAAGCTGCTATTGCCAACGAGGCCCGCCAAACAGCAGAACGCAGAATACAAGAGCTCCAATGCGAAGTCACGGCACTGCGGGCAGAATTAAGCCATTATGATTCTAGCCCAGTCGATCTAGAATCCCCCGTCAAGCGGGATGACTTCGAAATTGAATTTGCCCCGGAGCACCTCTGGGGGATAGATCTGGAGGATGTGTCTCATTTACGAAAGATCCTGGAAACTAAGTACACGTCCCTGTATAATGATCTGCAGACATATTCTCAGAGCTGGGGCAGCTTGAAAGCCAAGGTTTTGCAACATAAGAAGAAATTGCGCTATGTGGACAAACAACTACAGCGGGATGAGTTTACACTCATACACAATGGTGCGGCAGTTACATTTAAGAGGGTTCAAAACTCAGATGCTAGCCATATCGATAAGGCTACAGTATCGTCCAGCTCAGTTACTGCGCAAAACATACAGAACCCGAGGGTTCCCCGCTCTGAACAGCCTAATAGCTCTGCTCAGAACCGGACTAGTTCAGCAGACACAACAAATACAATGAAAGCAGAGGAGCACAGCCAGCAATTCCCTGTTTCTGACCAGGCAGAACCGTATCCTACACAGTCTTCACCCGCGTGCGAACCGGGAGCCTCAGAGTCACCTTCGGATGTGCTCCATACGCTGCCAAATTTACAAAATCGAAAGAGGAAGCGTGTGGTGGCGCCTTCTCAGTCCCACGAAGGTGACTATACCGGCCGACCAATGCTGGTTAAAAATGAGACATTCTCTTCGAGCCCTTTGCAGCATTCAAATCATGTACTGGGATCGTTTTTCCCCAGCACCCAGGACTTGGATGACATCGGCGACACTGTGCTGACACCCACTAAACGACAGGCGCGCCGAGCAGTGCATTGGGCTGATACCTCGAGAGACCTGGATCATGTGCCAGGCCGGTCCTCTGTTTTACAACCCGTTGATGGCAATACGCGAACAGGAGGAGTTTCCAACTTGAGATTTGGCGACAAAAGGAATAAATCCACAGACCCGCGTGCGATCTTATCAGTGTCCGAAGATGGTGACGCTGGTGATCGTGGTGCCCATTTGCACTCTAGCAGCACTTCAAGGCTCCCTGCCGCATCAGCGAAGATCAAACCTCATTTTAATATCACTCAAGGCCGCCTAGAAAGTCTTCTTGAGAAGCCACTGCCGTCTAAATCACCTCTACCATCCTTAAAGGGCACGCCTGGGCGAAGTATTACGCAAGATTCTGGCCGAAACGGTCCCTCAAGAAGGAGCGGTGGACCCGTCGAATCTACAAGGACCCAATCATATTCACAGCAAAACGAGGAGTCTGCAAGCCAATCTACTCTGAATGTGCATCCCGAAGATGAACCATACAGATCACGCCCTCTCCATAGGCTGACTCTGGGTCATTTCAAACTCAATCCCAAAAGAAATGATGGGCTTGACTACGCATATAGCGAGGTTGTTCGCAAGAAAGATGATCGCAAATGCCTTGCCGGTTGTACGCAATCTGAATGCTGTGGAGGCCGATTTCGTGCAATGGCTCGTCTCGGTGGATTACCTGCCAAATCATCTTCAGAACAGGAGGAGGAAGACCAACGAGCCTTGGAAGAGTATATGGGGGAAGACTACCATCTGTTGGAAGGGCTAAGTGCACAAGATCGTGACCATCTTGTCGTCGAAGCCCGAGCCCGAGCCATAGCCAACCAATATGGCAAACACCGACATAATCACCAGCGTGCTCGGTCGCCCCCGGGATTTTGGCGAACTGATATGCCATCCACACAGGAACTCGAGTTTGACCGAGAAGCTGCACAGAGACAAGACCGAGAGAAGGTGGAGGAGCGATACCGCGAGGCCATGCGGCCCGGAGGGTTGTGGACCTGGGCAGATGAGTAGAAAAGGCTTTGTATTTGGATAAACTATCTCTGAGACTATTGTAAATCCCATATATATCTGAACATTATACCGTTTTTATACGAAAAACTGGTCTTAACACTATGTTCGAAGTACAAGTTCACTAGTATCGTTGAACCACAACCAACCAGGTCCAACCTGGACCTCGGCCCGTCTTTCTTGGCAGCCCGTGACCCCGACCTCTTACCCGCTCTCTCCCACGCGACTGCGCCTTGAGCGGCTGCATCAAGTTGAATCATGGAGACCGTTCGGAGCATCCAGAATCCCATCCCACCCAAGATGCTGCAACCATCTAAGTGGTTATCGATCTATGAGGACTTTGTAACCAAGAATGCCAGCTCAGTTGGCCAGGTCGAGTCCGCTCTGAGGTCGCTGACCTATATCATTCCAGGTAGGTGAAAGAGCAACCCAACTCTTCTAGTATTTATGCTTGAATCTATCACTAAGTAGGAAATGTCATTCTATAGGCCGATATCGTGAATCTGAGGTTGCTTCGGAGTGCGGTAAGTTCAAGTACCTGCAGCTGCAGGAGCACCAGGGGGGACTGTGACTGACAGCGCTATGCAGTACATTCGGGTGTACAGCTGTTATCATTATATCATGATTCCCTCGTTTCGCGGGTAGTCTCTCAATTGCCATCTACCGTCCCACGGCCGACACCAACTCCTCATGCTCGATACACGAAGTACTGGACCTCACGTTCCTCGCTCTATCGTCGTGTAGCTCTCGCGCTTCAGATGCTTCAATACACGGAACTTCTGTGGGAAATGTCAGCCCGTCGGCGTGGCCAGAAGACTCGCTGGCGCATCGTTGTGTTCATCGAATTCGCCAAGGCAATCTGCCGGCTACTCCTCCTTCGATTGACCAATTCTCGGCCGCTTGTGAATCCACCATTACCCGAGCGCGAAGTCGATCCACGGACAACGGAAGAGGATAATCAGGGTGACTGGAATGGCATGGACACGCCTATCAGTGAGCACTCATCAGATTTAAGCTGGACGATGCCTCGTACAGGATTATCCCTTCCATCCCTCCCAGACGTCAATGACGTATCCAACTATCTCATCTCAAAGGTACTCACAGCAGATGACATCAAACCTGCTAAAACTTTACTTCACCGGGTTACCGGCCAAGGTCAGCTAGCGGAGATCCTTTACATTCTGCGACCTGTTGTATATGCCTTGGCGATGCAGCGGTGGAGCGGAGACAAGCGGAGCTGGCGCCCGTGGCTGATTGGATTTGGAATGGAATACGGCTGTCGTCAGCTTGCCAAGCGAGACTTCCGTGAGCGTGTTGCTGGTGGTCTCCGGGGACTTACAGGTCTTGAGCGAGAGGAGTTGAAAAAGCGAGGATGGTCGATGGGATGGTGGATGATGCGAGGCGCATTTTATGAGAATATCACGAAGTACGAATTCATCTCAGAATCTCCTATTGATTACACAGACTGACATCCAGCAGATCATGGCTACACAGTCTAACCAACAAAATGAAGGGGAAGCCGCTGCTTGACTTGATAGGGAGTGTGGTGGAAGACTACGAATACCTGTGGGACAATTACTACTTCTCGACTGCCACCTTATGATTGTTCTGCACAGATTTCTCTTCTTCCGTGATACCCGGTTTGTTTAAAACTTCTTCTACATCTCTTCCTATGGTTGTGCATTGCTCTTGTAATGAGCGCCTTTCCTTTGCTCATGGTTAAAGCATGCCTCGCGGGGGTTGGGGGGGGGGGGGGGGGGTATCATCAATTGTTACAATAGCCTCATTATGTCTAAATACCATGTGTCCGTACGTCATATAATTTCCGCCTGTCTGCTCCCATACCAATCTCGTAGTCCATGTTGGCCAGAGCCTTTCGCGGGTCCAGCCGTCAACAGGAATTCGAGCCTGCCATTTCCTTCGTCGTCCTCTTCAGGCCAGTCTACCCGGGCGCCACCTTTCATATCCAACATTTCTTTAGCGGTACCCCAGCTGAATCGACACTCGTTGCCCCAACCGAAGACCGGGTCCATGTTCCTTCGAAGCCAACCGACACACTTTGAATCCGAGGGATAACCACTGCCCCATCCCTCCGGAGCATCGAATACGTCCGCGCCAGACTGCTGAGCACACAGAACAGCTTGGTATAGCACCTCAAGCGCGACATCACGCGTCACTTTGGCGGCCACACTTGCCGCACTGACGCACGGGTACAACGAGTCCGCCTTCTTAGCCACAGTGATCTTCAAAGACGGGAAGATCCGTTCTAACTTTTGTTGGTATGTCGCTGGGTTTCCAATGGTATCAATGTACACCTCTTGCACATTGACCGAACGATCCTGCACCACCCCTCGAATGATCTCAATTGTGGCATCCATAGCTTGCGCGTTCAGATTGTAGACGGCGGAGCCTGGCTTCAACATACCCGAGGAAATGTCACGGGCTGACAAAACTTTGATCGCGTAGCCACATGACTCGAATAATTTGTTGCCCGGGGTGTTAAGTAGTCGCATTAGGTTGGCGCGCACTCCGGGGGTGAGGACTTTACTGTCGTCGAAGCTGTGGTCTTGTGCCAGAAGGGAGTGATGTAAATCGATTGGCAAGTAGAAGGCACCGTAGACCATTGGACCTAGAACAGGCCCACGACCAGCCTCATCGACGCCAAGTACGCATGGCGTGTTTTCTGTGGATGAAGCGTGGGCTGTGATAGCTGCCGGGCAGGGCGTATAATAGGCGTAGGATTCACCGGAGAGGAGACGAGCCGAGTCCACACTGGGAGGAATGAAAGACAAATCTTCCTGGGTTGAATTGTTATCCTTCATGTTGTTCGAGGTGTGTGATGAGTGGAATGATTCGAGCGATATAAAGTGATGATCAAATATGCAAACGCGTCGACCGCTCGGGTTTAGCGGCACGCGTTGCTTTCCCCCCAAATTCCGGCGCATTCCTCCTTCCCCTCCGTGACAATCTTGCTCTTCTACCACACAATCACCAAGGGGTGAACCCCCGATATTTGGTCGCGAAGCTCCAGTGATAGTTCTCTAATTTGTTCATATCCCACAAATCCTGCCAAAAATGGCTCGTGGGGCCAAGGCCCGCGAGTATGACTATTCCGCAGTAGGAACTCAAGGAAGGTTCGTCGCGCAGAAACTCTTGCGACGGAAAATTGCCGCCGGCTAACCTATGCAATTCACTCAGACGGACCGGTATCACCTTGAAAGAAGGAAAACGCGATGAGCATGGCATGGAAGAAGTGGACGGGCTTTTTTCATCTCCTGAGAAATCGCCGGCAGAGGTGGATGGTTTTGATGATAGGGACCTTGAAGACTCGATGGGTTCTGATGGGATGTCTATGGATGAAGGTATGAGGTCCTCGATATTCGGACATATTGGCAGGGAATTCTGACGCGCGTGTATGTTAGGCAACGCGCCTGGTCCCATGGACTTCCTCAATGCCGCCAACGCTTCGCGTCCTGCCTTATTACCTCCGCCCGGTCGTTCGCCTGCAAAGGGATTCGCTTCATCGACCCGCAGATCGCCTGTTTTGCGCTCGACACCAGATCAAGAGGAGGACCTGTTATCGCCTAGCCCCTCAGATGGTAAAGGCTTGACTAAGACCCATGGTTCGCGACAGGAACCCTCTCCATTGACTACTCGATCAGTAAACGCGGGTGTCTCCAAGCAGAGAAATAATGCCCAGAAGGCCACAAAGGCGCAATTAGTAGCGCCTGAGTCGCCCGTCGTGCATGACTTCTCGGACGGCGAGGGTGATGAAAACGCCAATTCATTTCTTCCCGAAGACAATGATTTTGGAGACAGCTTCGATGCTGGAAATGAAACTGTCATTCCCGACGACGACGTTCCCGAGCCCCTAGCGCAAGACCAGAGTGATGCCGAGAACGACTCGCCTCGGCCAGCAGAAGACGTACGTTCCGCGCCAAAGACGTCTACAACGGCATCAAAACCGACAAAGAAAGCTCTTACAGCGAAGGCCTCCAAGCCAGAGAAAAGTGAAACTAAAAGTGGACGGCGAGGCCGACCTCCGAAGAACTCACGTACCCTCGACGAAGAATCAGCCGATGCCAGGCCATCCAAGAGGCAAAAGATTCCAAACAGCCAGCCTCAAGCGAACCGTAAACCGCTGGACCCTGAACTGAACAAAGTCGTTGAGAATTATACCCAGCGTTCAGGTCCATTAAAGGGCCGCAGCTTGTACATTCTGAAGAGAGAGAACCCCACAGATCAAAGCTCCACACATACTCGGTCGGGGCGCGCATCGATCCGGCCTTTGGCGTACTGGCGCAACGAAAGGTGTGTCTACGGAGACGGAGAGGCTGAAGAGGGCCAACGCTTCCCATTGTCAACGATTAAGGAAATTGTTCGCGCCGAAGAGCTTGAACCGGAGCGAACCAAGAAAGGCAAACGTGCCGGTCGAAAGTCAAAATCCAAGAAGCAAGCAGAGTCTTCCGATAACGAAGATGAGCATCTGGATGTGTGGGAGAAAGAAAGCGGTGTTCTCCATGGTTTTGTCCCCAGATGGGATCCTAAGTCTCAAACCAGCACCAAGGAGGAGGACGTCATCGGTAAGTGCTGCGTATCTCACTCGTACTGGATCTTGCTAATCCAGTCCTGCAGATATTGCATATGCGCCTTCTGGCATTGAGACAAGAGAGGTCAAAGATTCCACATTCCGATTTGCAAAGCTGCTCAGCTCTTCTTTCATCGGATCAGGGGTCGTAGAACTTCCGCCGGAAGGTGTGAAGAGACCTAAGAACTCAAAGAAGATGCACATGGTCTTTTATGTCTGTCATGGACGAGTGCAGGTCGATATTTCTGGGGTGCAGTTCAGCGCTGGCAAAGGATGTGTATTCCAGGTCCCACGCGGTAAGTCCACTCTTCCATCGCAATCCAAGCTCCCAACTAACGTCGGTCTGCTTTAGGCAACTACTATAGCTTCCAGAACGCTCATAGCAAAGAAGCTCGGCTATTCTTCACGCAGGGCTGTGTCCCGGGTGAGGACGAGATAGCTGCATCTAGATCCAGAAATGCTGTCCAGGAAAGCGAATTCGAGGGTGAAGGTACGGGCGAAGGTGAAGCGGAGCCCGAAAATGACCCTACACCGGTAATCAAAAAGGCCCGCGGTCGTCCCAAGGGCAAGCAGAAGGCAAAATAGATTTGCCTTGGCGATCTGTATCTGTTTGTAGCCTTTTTGATTCATTTCCATGTCACGGCGGTGTTGACAATGTGCCACGATACCACATGCCTCAAGCGTTCGCAATTTTTTTTCTACGACTCTTTCTTTAATTGAGATGTTCTATCAGCTTAATCTTTTGGCGCTAATCCGGTGTGGAGGAATTGGAAGTAGAGACTTTATATCAATGAACATGGTTATCTCCGCAGCCTTGAGTCCGAGTTCAGATCTCCTCCATCAAGTCATCCAAGTCGTCATCCAGGCCCAAGGGAGGGAAATCCCCAACCTCGAGTTTGTCCGGCTTCACGAAGGCACCCCGCTTCTCAAGGCATTCGAAATAACGTTGCCCATTAATGCTGCCATCATTTTTTCCCGTCGGTTCATCCAGCTCGACACCTATCCAGATGGGCTGCAGCTCCACGGGGAGCTCCCCCTCCTTCTCAAGTTCGCGGCCAGGTCCAGATACTGGGATCGAAGGCACAGGTCCAACAAATCGAATGATTCCTCGTCTGATATGGGGTGGCGACGATGGCAGAATAATAACTCGTTTCGACACCGCAATGCCTGTAACCAAATGGTGAGATCAATATCAAAATCCTTTCCTTGCAGAACGTACCTCGAGAGGCTATCTCAGCCTGGTCTTTTGCTACTTGCTGACGAAGGGATTCTTCGGGTGAAAGCGCATTGGGATCAAAGCGGCCCAACTTTTGGTTCTTTTTCCATGCCAATACAGAGTTTGAAAGAGACTCGTACGTCTCCGTGGGTAGCTCGTATTTCTCCACAGATGAAAGGTCGGTGAAGTTGGGTCTCATGGCCTGTGGGCGGGAATCGTGGACCTACGAAGACTTTTAGCAACTAGTATCCAAGGATAGACACTTTCTTGGGTCGCTCGATCTGTTCAAAGAAAATCATCGTAATGATCATCAATGACTTAACAAGGGCGTGTCAAGCATTCGGCTTAGTGCCAAGTTCACATAAAGGTAGAACAAACAAAGTGTATCCACAGAACAAAAACCGAGCAATAGCTTTTCAAGTCCAAGAGAGGGAAGTTCAAGCAAGAGACTCGTCACGAGAGCCATCAAAGAAAACAAAACCTACCACAATCTCTGATCCTTTGGCCAGCCCCCAATCCCCGATAGCCCGATCCTCCTCATCTGCCCACTGATCAGGTCGACCAGGTACCTTAACAAGCAGACGCTGGCATCCCGGGGGACACCGGTCATGGTCTCCAGCTTCCCTTTGAGCTGAAACACTGTCCATGTCGGGGTGATGCGGCGCTCAGTGACGAAGCGAGGCTCTGCATCAGCCGTCCGTGAAAATGCGGCATTGGTGATGATGACGGAAACATCTGCCGGAGTAGGTTGAAATGCCATCTTGACTGGGAAATGCCCGTCAGGGGTTTCGCTATCTTTTCCTTGACGTGGGTTCTGTGGGGAAATGTTAGAGCTGGTACGTGTAGTCCCGGCAAGAACGAATGGAAGACAGCTTGAGATAGCACAATAGAGAAAAGGCAGAGATCTGTGATCCTGCAAGCATCACAACGCAGGGACTCAAACGGCTCCAAAAACATTCCCTCAAGAAGTTTTGATATTGGCATATGCATCACGAACCCCTCTTCAAGGTGGGGCTCTGGAACCATTGGCCTTCAGACGAGCCCCCAACTTGCACCATTGATAACTTTAGAAAGACTTGCATCGCAGATAAATGTACTTACAATTTCTTGACCCGAAGCGAGTGATGCTCCTGAACACAAGGCACGATCCATGGATGAGCCCTGCAGGTGCTTAGTCATCCAGGGCACGATCCTTCAAATGCTCTATATCAGGTGAAACGCAGTGACATTCAACGGAAGTCTATTCAGGAGACTGGATCGATTGGAAATCGAGCAGAATCCCGATTCAGACAGAATGAAATGTCGATCAAGAACGGTCTCAATTGAAATTGGATTGTAAACGGGGAAATCACAGATCTGGTCCTACATGTTTCGATGGAATTGATATAGAGATTATACAGATACGGGGTATCCACCAGTATCGATCAATAGCATTCGGTATCGAAGCGACACGGACACCTTGCGTTGTGAGCAAAAACCGTGGGGATTCACTTTCAAAATCCCAGGTCCAAACCACGTGATGTCCCTCGCTTGACCTCAAGATCACTCAAACTTAGGGACTTCGCAACCCGCAACCATGTCCCACGCTGAGGATTACGAGCAACAGAACGTGCACGAGGTCTATCAGCAGATTGCCCAGCACTTCTCTGCGACCCGTTATAAGGTATCGTTTTGTCCAGTCCATTTAGTCCGGACTTGCCACTTACCTCCGTAGCCATGGCCGATTGTGGAACAATACCTACAGAATCTCACGCCTGGATCTATCGGCCTTGATGTGGGCTGTGGAAATGGCAAGAACTTAATGGTTAATCGCAATGTCTTCATTATTGCATCGGATCGGTAAGTCTACAGTACGGAGCAAACTCAAATATCGGGTCCTTTTTTTAAATGTGTATTTTTGGGGGAAGTTATCTGTATCATAAGCTTCGGAATTTCTTTCTCTTCTCTTCTGGCCTTCGATCTGGTTCACTCATGAATTGAACAGGTCGGAAAATTTGGCTCGAATTGCTCTTCAGCATCAACCCCATTCAGCCGTGGTGGCTGATATTCTCCACCTTCCGCACCGAGATGGGTACTTTGACTTTGCAATGTGTATTGCCGTCGTGCACCATCTGTCTACCCCGGAGCGGAGGGTGCAGGCCATCGCTGAGATTCTGCGAACCGTGAAACGCGGCTCAGATACGCAACCAGGCGGTACCGTCTTGGTTTATGCCTGGGCCCTGGAGCAGAAGAATAGTCGTCGTGGCTGGGATAAAGGAGACCAGCAAGATATCATGGTTCCTTGGGTTCGGAAGAACCCATCAGCGCCGGAGGAGTCCCAGACTTTCAACCGGTATTACCATCTGTTCGAAGAAGGCGAATTGGAGCGAGATATCGAGAGTGCTGGCGGTCATGTGGTGACGTCGGGATATGAGAAGGATAATTGGTGGGCTATCGCCACTCCCAAAGTCAGCCCAGGATGATGTGTGGTTTTATTCCGAGATCCAGCCTCGATAATTCACCAGAAACCCGGGGTTTTCTCAAATCAAGAGATCGGGGCAAAATCGGATTGCCCTCCAATGAAACATAAGAGAATCTCCAAAAGGACAAAGAAAAGAAAAGACAGCAAAGAAAACGCGCAAGTCGCAAGGGTGGCGGAAAAAAAACAAAATCTCTATTCAAATCACGACCTCCCACTAATCACGGTATACCTCCAGCCGGCGCTATGCAAGTCGTATCAGAAAACAAAGGAAAGCCGTACGTGAATCGTCATCACATCTTAGGGCAACGTCCGTGGGGGCATTCCCATATGTGGGCCCATCATTCCGGGCGGAGGAATGCCCATCTCGGGTCGGCCCATCCCATAGTACTCTCGTGGAGGTTGAGGAGCTGGTGGTGCAGGTGCGTATGCAGGGACCCCCGCCGTCAGTTCTTCGAGGGATGGTAGTTGAGGGGCCAGGCCTGGGTGACCTGGGATGGCGCGGGTGATAGAACTCTTCCGTGGCCGAGCCAAAGAAGTGCTGGCTCGACGAGTTCTGGTGGCGGGGGGGTCGATCGCATGGCTTGATAAGGAAAAGGGCACCACGCCTGCGCGGCGGGCCATCTCCTGCTCTCCCAGTTGCCAGTGCATTGCCTCTGCAGCACGCCATGGGATAGCCATTTCCTCGGCCACTTTGGACCACATCTCTGCCTTGAATCTATTCAATCAACTTCCACGTCAGCAAGTTTTCATTTCCCGTGTGTGCCCTGGCTGTTTTCTGTTCCTTCCGTTGTTGTGGTGGGGAGAGGAAATGGAATCAGCCTACCGTTCATATAAACGAGCCAGTTTGTTCTTCTTGTCCTCATCCCACTCGCTGCGACGCTCCAGGTAATTTTGATAGTGAAGACGGCAGCTGATCGCACTGCGACCTGGCAGCCGTTTGCTAATATCCTCCCATTTCATACCACTGCCCCGCAGCTCAATAATCAAGGCATCCTCCTCGGGTGACCATTTGGACTGCTTCTTCGCAGGAGATTCCGCCGTATGGGCGGGTTGCAGACGCTTGGGAGCGCCAGTTGGGCCCGTCTTGGTTAATGGCGGTGGCACAGCCATCGGAGGACCGGCCAAGAAGGATGTACCGGGGAGAGGACCTGACATCCTCGGGGGATAGAGAGGGGCAGGGTTGCCCGAGGTTTCTTCCTCATCTTGGGGCTTGAGTAGCAGTGAGATATCCACTTTGGCGGGCGGCAAGATAGGCCGGTTTTGTAACGCAATCATATGCGCGATGGGGGTGGCGTCTTGGGAGGGGTTCTTGTTCTCAAAAGTCGAAATAGTGGTGTCTTTTTTTGCTTTTAAGAAATATAAAAAGAAGGCCAAAAAAACCACCACAAACCACCAAACAACAATACCTGATTCTTGTTTCTCAAGGATCACCAAGGACCACGGAGAGATGGGAATCCGTTTGGAGGGACACAATGAGCACAGGGCGAAATGGCAGGCAGACTCGTGATCTCTCTTCCCAATGACGAGTCAAAAACCAAAAAAAAAAAATAAAAAAAAAAAAAAAAACCCCCCCAAAAATTTCCTTTGCGGATGATCAGTTCAGGGACCGAGAACTTGGATCAAATGCTCCGTGATTCTTCACGAAACCCAAACACCGTTGGTCTTGTGCAACGAATGGTGAGGTCAGAGGAGAGGGTTTCTCTGGCAGAAATGGCGGGCCAAGGTACCGTGGATAAGGTCCTCCAGGAACCGAAGAAAACGAGGTGATATAAGAAGAGGGAAGAAGGGGAGAAGGAAGAAGAGCCAAAGAAAGGTATCAACTGGAGTTGAGGAGAAGCCAAAGAAATATCAGAGATGAGCGTCTAGAAGTGTAGGAGGAAGAGAGTCCAGAACGTGAAGATGAAACGGGGAAGTATACGTATAGTATTGTAAGGGTAAGAAAAGAGGGTCATAATATCGATCCACTGGTTTTTTAAATTAATAGCGGTCAAACCTCTATTGCAATCTTGTCTTGATTAGTTCTTAATTCGCATCTATTCCATTCTAATTCTTCTATTTTTCCGAGGGTATTCTCAAAAGTCCTAATTATGTGTGGGTGGTGGCGAGGGTTCTCTGGTGCTGGTGCTGGTGCTGGTGCTGGTGCTGGGGATGGCGATGGTTCATGCGATAGGGCTCACCTCTCTCGAACCCAGGGGAGGGAAAAAGGAAAAAGGAGAAGAGGGGGAGACCCGCATTCATCCTTGAGTGAAATGAGGGTGAGAATGCGTAACGGGACACTTTAAAGGCACTGACCACACTAGCCCAGACACTAATTTCGCCCTAATGCCATGCCGTTGTGACTAAAACATGCCTGGACCCAGATCGGACTCAACGGCTTTCTGCTCCACTAGCCATCACGAGGGGTATGGGAGACTGGGATCTGGGGTGTTCTTGTCCCACTTGTGCTGTTGCAGCCTCAGTGCAACCACTCGGGGATTTTTCTCATTTCTTAGGGCTTGACGGGGGCGTTTTTACGCCGCCGTGACTGGTTTGCCCTCCCCTCTTGGACCGGGTGCGATGGTTGGTGAGACTTGAGCTTATAGCTATAGCTCTGTAATTTTGATTTGGTTTGGGATTTTATTCGGATTTATTTTATTTCGATTTTGGGCGGGATTTTTCATCTCTATTTTCGCCCATTTCCCTGGTCTCCACTCGATTCCGAGTTCCTGGTTTCCCGTTTCTTTTTTTTTTTTCATTTCGTTATTATTTTCCTGTTCGAGTCGACTTCCCATGGAAAGGAGATTGGAGTCCTTGGGTTGTCAGGAACGTCAACCTCGGTAATGAACTGTCAACCCTTTTTTTTTTTTTTTTTTTTCTATTTTGAATTGGTTCTTCCAGAACCTCTCGTACCCTCAACGGACGTTGTGTACTGCCGAGACGTCGTGCAGACCGTCGTTCGCAGATAAACATCCAAGTCACTTCTGGGAAATTGGTTCCCGTTGATCCTGGGCCTAGAATCCAAATCACGTCCCAGTTCCCATGTTTTGGAGAAAAAAACAAAACAAAACAAAACAAAAAAGAATATTAAAGTAGGTTGGGGCCCGATCGCATGAAGGACCGGATCGGCGACATTCTCCGTTATAGCTTACCTGGGTATGACTAGGGGGAAATGGGGTTCCGGCAAGCGAGCAGCTAAGGTCTCAGGTTCGCTCTAATTTACTTTGTGATTGAAAGGAGACACGATGGCTTGAAAGACCTTGAACGACGGGGCTGTTTAGGGGGCAAGTGTCCAGATTAAGGGCCTAGTGGGGACTCATAACATCCCAATCTCTCTGAAATGACTGAAATGACTGAAATGACCTGAAATGAAAACCAAAAACCAAATCAACACGGGAACGGGCAAGCTGCAGCAAATTGTTGGTTTATTCTCCGTGATTGGACCGACTTGATGCAGCTGGCACGGAGCCCCAAGTGGCAAAGCCACCCTAATGCAGTCTAACCATTGAACAAAAAAATAGCGACCCGTTGCAAAGTGGCGGTGGAGTGTGCCAATGCAGGTTCTGCTCGAACATGAGTTCCCTTGGGCATGAGTCTTGTACAGACACTAAATCTGCATCACCCGGTTGCCTGAAACACGCATGCGCGGATCGGCATGCAACCTGTCAACTGTAACCATCTCGTGACGTTTTATGGTGTGTCCACTGGCAGAGAGTTTTGGGCTACAACGTGCGAGGTCCAGAATCATTTTTACCCATGGCATGATTCATGGAGCCGATGATTTGGACGGAATAAATAAAACCGGGGCAACGGTCTCAAGGCTCCAGTTGGGACCCGAAGCGAGGATGATCCTTGCCGATCCCCGAGTACTATAGGGGTGATGACGGAGTTTATAGGAGAGGGGAAAGCTCGAAGCCCGCAGGTGGAGACCCAAACGTTCGATCATCGCAACTATGACTTAAGTGGAAGTGACCGAAGAGCTGGTGGCGGGTTTCCCACTGATCGCCTGAAATGTCCGATACATCCACTTCCGTCTTGCACGCAGGACCCGTTCAATTTCCCCCAATGTTTCGAAATCTTGATTTCATTTCCGTAATTTTGTCTGTTCCCAGAGCTCATACTCTCGGAAGGCCCGACGAGAACGACGGGGGCGGGTTCCACTTTGATGGCAGAGCTGAATGAGTGGCGCCCAACCGTTTGGATGGGGGCAGTGCGCGCAACGGTGGATCTTCGGTAGACGCGAGGAACGCCGCTGTCAAGAGAATCCAAAAGGAATAGGGAGCAAAAATACAATAAAAAAATAATAATAGCAAAAATGAACAAGAAAAGAAAGCAGCCCTGCCAAGAGACCACAAAGGAAACGGAACCTTTGTCAAGAACAAGTTGGATAGATCGATTGCTGGGAACGGGAAACGGGACCGTCAAACAAGGCTGTAAGAGATTCGGCCTTGGGACTCGGCCGGATCTCGAAGATGAGACCAATCATCGGCAGCTTCATTTGAGTGCTTTTCGTCAGGTTGCGCTCCACCGAGTCACCTGAAACACGCTTAGTCTTGTGGGGGTTAGTGGGGTCAAAGACAGTTCTACGAAGTCAGGAACTGGTTCATTACCTAAGCCATGAAAGATTGGGTATTACGTGAGTCTGGACGATTGAAGCATGTAGCAACGTCGATCATCCTGGTCGAGACCTGCAAAGGCTTCAAGTTCCATTGGGATTCTGGACCATTGCGGAGTCGCATTCTCCCACGGTTCGGTATCCCCCACTCGATACCGAAATTAAATGAAACTTGAGCCTGGAATTCGACAGTCGACGTCGACTCGAGTTGGGGCCAGGGTTCCATGGCTAAAGTCAGGAACGGCCATTTGACGGGTCAACCATGTGTCACTTGAAGTTCTTCAACATTGTCTTTGTCGTCTCTTTGCCCCTGAAATCAGATCGGCGACTGGTCCTCGGGCTTGGCTCAGATTCGTTCAAAGACTGATCTAGGGGTTCCCTGGGCTCCGTTCTAGGAGGCGTGGTTCTGAGACTTGAGCCAAGAAACTTATCTAGGAGACTATTTTGAAAGATTACTCTCCAGAACTAAAGGATTTTGATCTAAGAAATCTATTTTAGAGACTATCGAAAAGACTAGTCTTAAGGACTAAGAAGCTTGATTCTTAGAGGCTTGATCTTCAATCATGGTCCTCTTTCAGTCTTTCAAGTCTTTTAACTTGAGATGGAAAGAGATCTCGCAACCATCAACTTGCCAAACATAAATTCGAGAATGGACCGGTGGAAAATGCACGTTCAATCACAGTGGACATTTACGTATAATTGACATTGACCTAGCTACCATATATTCACTCATCATGGTTGGCCCACCCCAACGGGTAAGTCAATCGACTTCGACCTCAGACATGGAGGAAACTAATTCTGGTAGTTCGCCGGTAATCCCGATTGGCCCGCTAGGCTCACAGCGGGCTCTCGCGTCGGCTTCAAAAATGTTTCCGGCACAGACTGTTACAAGATCGTGACATTTCAGATGCTTCTTCACTGGCCAGGGTTGATGAACTGGTTGGACTATTATGCAGACCAACATCGCGAATCTCAGGCGCCCTGTAAGATGGGAGCAGGAGCAACGCCATGCAAATTATGCAGTCTTCGCGATCTGTATGACAGCTACTGGTATGGTTTTGGCAATCGTGCATTCATCTTCAAGATCCTCATCGAGGAGATCAACAAGGATTGGATAGTAGAGAACAAACGAGGACAGCAAGACGTGGCAGAGTATTGGACTGAAGTGTATAGGCAGTTTCGTTATGACACGGTAGACATCTTGTAAGTCTGTGATTGATTGGCCCTTGGGGGGGGGGGTTTAACTGATAACTGGTCAACAGTAAAAAGGATCTGGTTGCCCTCGTCCAGCCACTCACTGTCACACACAGAGAATGTAAAGGGGGAGACGGAGCCTGTAAAGGTGAGTGGCTCCCGAATGCACATGTCATGCTGCACCTTCAATTTCCTCAACGCCTTCGCCTTGGGAAAGAGGCTGGGCCCCCGGAAGACAAGACGCCCGAGTTAAGGGAATCCATTCACCAGTTCTTTGCGCAGAGCGATCTACCAGCTGGAACCAAGTGCAAGACATGCCACAATATCCGAGTTGACCACGAATACATTGCTCAAGCACCGGAGTTTCTTGTCCTACATCTCAACCGAGCTCAATACAACTTGGAAAAGTTGGAGCCGGTCAAGGTCAACACTCCAATTGTGTTCGCAGAAATGTTAGAGCTCCCTGGCTCATACTTTGACCCACGGATCATTGACCCTAAGGAGAACGTCTATTATGAGCTGACTACCGTGATCATGCACAAAGGTGATACCATCAACGTGGGCCATTATACTGTCTACGCCAAGGGACCTGGTGGCAAGTGGGTGCTGATTGACGATCAAACGATCTTTCGGTGCAAAACCTTCGATGAATGGGCAAAGAAAGAACACAATCAATCATGCGCCTACATTTTTAGTTATCGTCGGGTTGAGGTGGACAAGGAGACGCAGAAGATTATCGATACAAAAAACCCCACGAAGGCGGCTAAGATGAAAACCGTAGATCAGGCCATCCAGACTGATGACCTCAACTCTGGATTGGAGCTAGGGGAGAAGGAAGGGTTCCAAAGTTCCTTCGGACTGAATTGGATCCCCGTTAGTGGAGATTCGGTATACTTAAAGGGCCAACTTAAGACCAATGATAACATGGAGGGGATTGAATTCCCAAAAGGAGTTGGTCATTTGGAGTTGACTTGGAAGAACAAGAACGGGAATAAAACCAATCTTATCACATTAAAAGGCACGCTGACCAATGGGAATGCTCTGGAAGCCGCAGAGCCTGAAAAGGAAGGGAAAGGCTCCCGTGTTAAAGGGCACTTCAGCTCGGCTGAAAGGTCTGGATCTGGCAGTGGTTCAAACAAATCGGTCAAGTCCAAGGAGTCTGGCAAGAAACCTGGCGCGGGACCCAAAGGTGTTGTGAAAAGACGAAGTGCTGGAAAGGCCGCGTTGGAAGGACTCAAACGGGCCCTAGGACGGGGAGGTAAGGAAGAGAAGAAGGAGGGGAAGGAGAAGAAGAAGGGGAAGGAAGAGAATCAAAAAAGGGGAAAGGGGAATGAGAAAGAGAAGAAGAGAGAGAAGAAGAAGGGATGATCAATGTCGTTATCGTTTTGTCGTGTTTGATAGACTATATACTTTTTGCTCTTTCCATCTCCATTTTCATCGTTAATCCACTCCCGAGGCCTTCAATCCTGTGAGGCTCTACAAAAATTCACATAATCCGACCACATGGAGACCTCCACCTCACAGCATCCTTCACCCATGAAAATATTCGTGGATGATCTGATCCAGGAGTTGGCCGAGTTTCAATCTCTTGGCACTCATGTCGATGAGCTTGATCCGCCGAGGACGCAATCGGGACCTCAGGGAAGGAGACAACAGAACCCACTCTCGGGACTTTCGGCATCGCAGTTGACAAAGATAAAGCCTTTGCTGCTGACATTACATTGCCTTTTCCCTAATGACCTACTCCCGGCCCTTGACATCCTGGACCGTAGGCTCGTGCAGCGCTTGGTGCGTGAGGACAAAGCCGTAACCACGCCCGAGCACAATGACAGATTGGCAACGGAGCACCAAAACACAGGGCAAGCAGAAACAGCATACGTTGATAAGAATAATTCTCAGCTTGAAGATATCTTCTTCGTCATCTCTGCCTCGACTGCTCCTCCACAAGGTGTTCCATCGTCCACATTCCCCACCCAAGAACAGCTAAAAGGCTACGAGGTCCGCTTGCATGCGTGGGCTTGTACCTGTCCGACGTTCACCCTTTCAGCCTTTCGAGACATTTATTCCAGAATGGATGTCTCTGCAGAAATACCCTCTGGCTCGGTCCTGCGAGACTTTGGACCCGGCTGCTATCCATTTGGTGGGACACTCTCCTGTGTCACTGACAGGGGTTCACCCCCAGTTTGCAAGCATATTTTAGCTTGTATCCTGTTTGCTCGATGTCCCGGGCTGTTTGGTGGTAGTGGAGATGGCAGGCGCCCGGTTTCCATGGAAGAATTGGCGGGCTGGTGTGCTGGATGGGGTGGATGAGTGGCGACAGTCCACTGATGCTCCAATCTTGCATGCTGTGTGGGCTGTCTGTCTTTTACAGTCACTAAAAATCTGTGCAGAGCAGTAATGTCTACGTTGGAAACATTTCCTCGTGCCGACATGACCCCATGTCCCTGCTTTGAGTATCGCCCTTTCTCCGGTGGCAGATATATCTCTTTCAAACGGGTCGGCTACCAACGTTTCGGTCGGATGACTTGGTGCTGAGTAGTATCCGACAAGGAAAATATCCATTCTCTTCAAAGTACCGTGAAAACGGTACCAATGGGGATTATACGGAATTGCATTTGCATATTTCATCAATAGTCAACTACGCCCAAAATGATCATGATGGAAAAGAGATAGAGAAGGATAACAGCTCCTGGGTCATAACCTTGGATTATCCGTACTATACACTGCTAAGCAGCAGTTCTAAGCGGTCATATCATATCGACGGGCATTGCATTCTCCAATCTAAGACAGTTGAAAAGCATTTTAGCTCTTCTTCTTGCTCTTATCGGAGGTGTCCTGCTCCTCCTTCTGGTCGCCATTGGTTGACCCATTGGCCTTCTTGGCTTCCTTGTCACCCTTGCCTCCATTCAACTCCTGCTCCCGCTTGGAGTCCGTTTCCTCTTGCTGCTGTCGGTTTTGAATCTTGTTCTCGATCAGGTCGTGGAATGCAGTGATGGCACGGATCAAACTGCTGATGTAGATGGCCATGAGCTGGTCGTTAGTCTTCACACTCATGGCCCGAGCAAGCTCGCTGTTCTCAATCTGTGTCTCCTGTCCGCTGATTCCTGGTGTCTGGGCTGGGGTCGACAGGTTGGGGAGAAGGTTGAAGACATCCTGAAGGTTGCCCAGGATGGCATGGTTGACGGGGAGCTCATGATCGAGGACTTTCTGGAGGTATTGACCGATATCACGTAGTCGCAGGTGCAATCCTTGCAATGACTGCAGCTGTGAAGTGATGCGCGTGGAGAGCGTGCCGACTGCAACATCTCTGATATCCCGGAGAAGGTGTTCCACACCAATTTCCTCCGCTTCTTCGGCCTCGATTATCGATGGTGTATGCACAAAGGTCTTTGAGGTTGTGGTTCCATCCTATTATGAAGAGAAAGATGTCAATTAGCTTCACGTCCACTAGATAGGCTTCTGTGGGTAGACATCAACAAAGAAAGTAACGTACGTCCTTGATCTCATCCACGGCAAAATAAGCATCTGTAGGAACACCGACTTCCTTGGGCTGCACATCGACAATCACCAGCAAGGGGTTAGGAGTGTATTTCTTGAAGAGTTCATTGATCTCCAGATCCGAAGCGCGCAGCTTGGGGCCAGAGTGATACCAGCCGACAAGCTTCTCACGGGCATTGATCTTCTTGAACATATCTCTCATCGACTCAACAAAATTGTGGTCCAGAAACCAGACCGATGGGTCCTTCTCATCTTCCTCAAATGGTACTAGATAATAGCCATGGTCAGCTCCCAGACGTGGACCTGATCATCACATTGGAAGCTATACATACCTGCGAAACTGTTGGATACTCGCACATTGTTGCCTGAGTTCTCACCCAGTAGCACACCAACTACACGCTTTCGAGTACCTTTTGCTGTCCGCCCATAGTGATCAGCGACAGAGAGCAGGACTAACGGGGCAACCGTGACGCTGCGGTTGACGAGGGATAAGGTGTCCGCCGTGGTGGCAGGCATGATGAGAGGAAAATCCGAGGAGAAGATAGAATAAGAGATGAATCTTGAAAGGATTCAATAAAGGGTGATATAGCTGGATGGAATCGTAGGCGCTGAAGGTGAACTTGGGGAACTCGTAGCAGGCGATGATGCTCCGGAGAGAGAGCTTCGGTGTTTGCGCCACTGCGGCTGGTGGTCTTAGGTAAGCCATGGCTGGTGTTTTCAACTTTTATTGATTCGAGAGATGTGATGAAAATGAATGGGATTTGCTCTATGCAGGATGTGGTAAAATATCCAGAGATCATAATAAATCGATTTATAGCCAATACTCGAGGATTGAATCTTCAAGATACTGCTGAAGCTGGTGAGTGTACATCGTAGTTACGTAGCATTGCCAGCCTCCGAACCTCGGGCGCTAAGTCTTAATTCCTTTCCGTTTCCCCGACTCTTCCTCTTCCAACTCCAAAACAGACCCTTCATCCTTAAACGCCCCTCTCCTCTCCTCTCCTCAATCACAATGGCTCCTATCACCGATGATACTGTTTCCGCTCTGAAGGACACCATCAGCAAGCTCGAGTCCAAGGTTGTTGAGCTGGAGCAGCGCCTGGTCAATGGCGGCGAGAAGCCCAAGTCGCTGACCGAGCAGATGCGCATCATCCTGATGGGACCTCCTGGTGCAGGTAGGTGATGCCAGACTCGGAATACCGACAAAGCTACGTATAGTTGTTAACGCGTCGCAGGCAAGGGCACCCAGGCCCCCAACATCAAGGACAAGTACTGCGCCTGCCACCTGGTACGTTGTCGCAATGACCCTCTCCTTCGAGTATCACGGAGTCTTTGCCACGTTTGCTAACGATTGTCTCTGGAAAAGGCCACCGGTGACATGCTGCGGTCACAGGTCGCGAAGAAGACCGAGCTCGGAAAGGAAGCCAAGAAGATCATGGACCAGGGTGGTCTCGTCAGTGACGAGATCATGATTAACATGATCAAGAGCGAGCTGGAGAACAACGCCGAGTGCAAGAACGGGTAAGATGACCGGAACTGCCGCTTGCTTCCGGCCGACTGACTCAATGGATAGTTTCATCCTGGATGGTTTCCCCCGAACTGTCGCCCAGGCCGAGCGTCTCGATGACATGCTTTCGGACCGTAAGCAGAAGCTCCAGCACGCCATTGAGCTGCAGATTGATGACAGCCTGCTTGTGGCCCGTATCACTGGCCGCCTCGTTCACCCTGCTTCCGGCCGCTCGTACCACAAGATCTTCAACCCTCCCCAGGCCGACATGAAGGACGACATCACTGGCGAGCCCTTGATTCAGCGCTCCGATGATAACGCCGAGACCCTGACCAAGCGTCTCGCTACCTACCACGCCCAGACCTCTCCCGTTTGCGATTACTACAAGAAGACCGGAATCTGGCGCGGTATTGACGCCAGCCAGGAGCCTGGCCAGGTCTGGAAGAGCCTTCTGGGTGTTTTCCACAAGAACTAAGCATAAAGTTCTTCATTTGGGAGGAAGGTTCAAAAGTATTTTCTGCCCAAAAAGGCAAGAGAGGCTTGTCAGTCTAGCTTGAGGATGCTCACCGGTTTTCTTTTGTTTGGTATTGGTTGGGGGTGGGGGACACTCAAGAAGCTTAGACTGGCATGATATCCAGCATATAGACGAATAATCTGTCTCTTATGGCCCTGTATAGTATGTGTACTCTGGTACCCAATACAATGTTATCAATACTCTTGCACCGTAGTCCAGAAGGAAATATGAATTGAACAAATCTATAGTCGTAATTGCTATGTTTTGTACAACATGCTGCATTCATTTTCACAGCTGCAGAGGGTACTTAGTCGATTCAATGGACTCGGGATACTTCAACCCACCCTGCCTGCGCACTTCGTCCATAACCTCCATGATAACCAGGCTCTCCTCCCAAGGCATACCCTCACTCTCCAGCTTACCATCTCTCAAGCAGCGAGCAACCTCATCGGCCTCCCAGTACATGCCACGACCCTGGGCCGGGAATGAGAATTCGACCTCACGGACCTCACCGAGACCTTTCTTCGGGACCACACGATACCGTGTAGGCTGGAAGGGAAGCCCGCATACTTGAATCTCACCCTTGTCACCCTGAATACGAATTGGGGGACCGGACGTACCCTTCTCATCCGGATCATTGGCAACACGCATACTTGTCATGGCTACGCCCTGCGAGTGCTTGACATGGGGGCCATTGCTTGGCGTAGAAGTAGGGAAATTGAGCAGAACAGTGGTCGATTCGTCCGAGCCTGTCAGGTGATAGGGTATGACCTGTGATGTGACAGAGGGTGCCTTCCTCTGGTCTCGAGGGAGAGTGTGGTAAAGGGCCTGGAAGACCCAGGTGAGAGAGTAAATACCCACTTCAAACATAATTAGCCCCGAATAATCTGTGTACAAGAGCAGACCACTCACAATCCAAGAGCACACCACCCGCCAAATCAAGGTTCACCATACGATTCTCGGAACTCCATTTATTCTCGGGATCATCGCTAAAGCTTGTGTCGGCGATAACCCGGTATACCTCACCGATGGCTCCCTGCTGGATCAGCTGGCGCACTTGAATACTCAGCGGGAAGTAGCGAGTCCAGACAGCTTCCATCAGGAAAAGATTCTTTTTGCGAGCTGTTTCACATAGAATCTTAGCTTGGGCCACGTTGACCGTGAAAGCCTTCTCGCATAGCACGTGTTTGCCAGCCTCGAGAGCTAGCATGGCATTCTGATAGTGGTGGGAGTGTGGCGTAGCAATGTATACGACGTCCACGTTCGGGTCGGCAACAAGCTCCTCATAAGAGGCGTATGCGGCACAGGGCGCTGGGATCCCGACATTTTGGATGAATTGGTTTGCCCTATCTTTGGATGAGGACGAGGCGACAGCGGCAACTTGGTGGGCAACGTCGGAGGCATCGCGAGTTGCGGGGTCTTTGAGAAGGTCAAGGACGAATGCTATTGCAATTCATGAGCTGACCAGTACTTGTATGTTGATTTTGGGGCCCGGCTTACTCTTTGCGATTCCGCCCGTGGCTGTCAGATTTCAGAGCCATGGTTAGCATAGTACGATATTTGGAGAAGCTGGAGGAAGTTTTCGTACCCATGATACCCCATCGTGTTAGGTGTGCCATTATCAAATCGACTCGGTGGTTTAGGGACTAAAATTGAGAAGGTGTAGGAGGAAAGGAAAAGGTAGAGTTAATATAGTGATTTCATTCGAGTGGGGAAGAATCACAACCCCGGAGATGCACCGAGCGGGGCACATAGCAACGTCATGATGCTACGATATGCGAATATAAATAATTTACAATTGCTTTATGACTCCTTATGACTCCATCTTAATACGCACTTTAGACCCGGGAGACTCGACGCCCTAGAGAGAATTAGTGATCAAGAGAGGCAATAGTAGATAAGACTTCACCTACCTCGGCTTTTCGCTTGCCAAGCACTGAGTCTGGGGTGGCGGTACGTGCTTGAGGAGTGAAGCTGCGCGGAGCTGGGCCATCCTTGGTGACCTCATCGTAGCAGCTGGCATGGTAGACACGACCGCTGACGGTGACAGCATCCTGCCAGATCCAGTCCTGCACCTCTTCGGACCAGGTCGATTCAAATTTCTCCTGGCAGATGGGACAAGGCGTATTGCGCAGCACGGCATCATTGGGGGCCCGAATCCACTGCTTCGGCGGGCCTTTCTTGGTGTCATTACTCTCAGCACCTGCGGCTCCTTCGGCAGTGGCCTCGGCGTCCTCTGTGCCTTGGTCGTCATCAGCCTCACGAGACTGAATCCAATCCTGTTGTTTTCGGTCAGTCTGATATGTCACGAAATGCATATCAAGTCATGGAAGATACATACCCCTTCATCGACATACCAGCTACGAGTCTGGGCTCGCTTGGTAGCCTCCACCATGCGCTGGTTGGTCTTAAAATGCCAGTCCAAATGCCGGGCTTTCTTTTCTCGGCCCTCTGCAGTGGCCAAGAAACGGCGACCACAGGTTCCGCACCGATTTGGCTTCGCGTCGTAGAGGGAAACAACGAGCGCCATTCGAGGACTAGATTACAATGAATGAGCACACGTACACATAGAGCATCTGTCTCAGATCCAGCACTTACATCTTCATGGAGATAGTATTCATGGGGACAGTAGATAATGAGCCAACTGGAGTTGATGCTTGAGGGGTTGCAACAGGCGGCGTAACTCGGAGTTGACCGGGAATGAAGAATGGTAGAGAGCCTGGGGGAGGTGTTCCACCTGAGCCCATGGTTGGCGGGGCCGACGCAGGAGGCAAAAGCCCCCGTAGCCGGAGAGCAGCGATGATGGGATTCTCGGCTGGTTGCGGGGTATTGCTGGTAAGGGGGATCTGGGGCATTGTGGGGAGGATGTTGGAGATCTGGGGAGGAGGAGTGGGTTGTTGGCTCACGGCAGTCGCTTTGAGAAGCTCCGCAATAGTTTCGGAATTCAGCATCTGCGGGTACGGTTGGGATGCAGGTTGGGTTGGTGGTGTCGACGCTGGGGGAGCCGGGGCTGGTACTGAGGAATTGGGAGCTTGGATAGGTGCTGCCTGTGGGATTTTAAACGAGGAGAGTTGATTCCTAACGAGCTGCCGCTCTTCGGAAGTAAGCTGCTGGCGCTGCATGATGAGCTGGAGATCAAGCAGTGACTTAAGCCGCTGTTGAGTTGTGGGATTAAAAGGACTGTTTGCGAAGTCATTTCGTGCCGACGCTATCAAGGCCTCCAGGTCCCGGTTCAGAGCTACCGAGTCCACATCTTGACGCTGTGTTTGAGGGGGGGGTCTAGTGTGACTGCGTCAGTATAGATAGGAAATCACAGCCGGAAGGTTGCCTACCGCAGTCCTTGAGATGCCTCCATGGTTCGCATAAGGCTGGTTCTGTCGAGACATGCCTGGTGGCGTGGGGCTATTGGCCCATCCTGTTGGTGTGACGCTACCACGGCCGCGATTGATCTCCGGTTGACCTCTTAAACGCTGCGAGTCCAAGAACGCGGTGCGGGCCTTGATCAGGGCGTTTTCAATATCGCGAGTGATTTGGGGCGGGAAGACTGGACGAGTATCCAACGAGCCTGCAGCGGGTTCTTTCCATGTCTTGAGCATCTCATCTAGCTTGCGGCGAGTCTGCGCATCGACGAGAGTGTACGCGTTTATAAATGTCTGGAACATCTTCCGTCCCAGGAAGAGAGTGTATGGGGTTCCGACATTCTTGACGATGGAATCAACTACATAGAGAGCGGGCAGTTTCCGCGGCGGCGGGGTCTACTGGACGGTCAGAGAATCCCAGCTACGCCTTAGACAAGGGAGACACCTACAGATCGAATATGATCCTCCAGCACCTTGGATATAGCCTCTGCATGTTCTGTGTTTTCTTTCGCAATGACAGTCAGATTGCTGATCTGGAATCGATCGTTGGTGATGAGATCCTCCAAGGAACTTTTGTAGTCCTCTGCTACTTCGTCGGAAACCGAGTTTGACATGGCGGCAGTGGCGGTGAGGGAAACGAAGCGGAGGGAATGCTGGAGAGTGAAAAGGTTAGTTTGTATAGAAGCACCGTCCTTTTGATATGCAATATTTTTCGTCTTGCTTCAAAGCTGTGTTCTTTTTCCCTTCTTTCTCTCGGTCTTCTCTTCCCAGCTTTGTATGATTTTTCTTCTTTTCTTTTCTTTTTTTTTCTCTTGTCTTTTGGGTTGTTTGGGTCAATGGGACCGAGGTCACTATCAACAGAATTGTCCTTCCTAGACTGGGTGATCCACGGAGTGAAATCGCCGGAACCAACACAAGATGGAGTGAAAAGGCGGAACTTGTAAAATGCTTGCTAGCTATCTTGCAGACTTGAGACAACAGATATTCCAATCTAGACCCTTTGCCGCGACTTGATTCCTCCACAAGATCAGGAGATGTAACAGATCGGGAGATGTAACGCCGGGGGGTAAGACAAAGGCCAACCGCGGAATAAACCACCGTCCAACGATATTATCAGGACAAAAGAGGGAAAGAGATTGAAACGCTGAAGAGAAGGGGGGGAGGAGAGAAGAGGAGGGAAGAGTGAGGAGAAAGGGATTCCCCAACTCGGAAGGTTTGCATTGCCGGTCATGTGACCAATGACGCATTGCCATTACCATCAAGTGAAGCCTATTTGTATTCCTCTTCCTTAACTCCGTTCTCGGCTTACTTTCATAAACATATCAACTAAGCTAACATGAAGTTCTTGTCCATCGCCGTTATGGCTCTGCTGCCTTTGGCGCTGGCAGCCAAGACGCTCAAATCCGTTATCATCACCTTCCCCAAGGGGACTCCTTCCAGTGTCATTACTCACGCAAAAGACTCCCTGGTAGCCTCGGTAAGCTATGTACTTCATTTACAGCCTTTAGGTGGCACAAACTAACCCATTCAATCTTTACAGGGTGGCATTATCACTCATGAATACTGTAAGTTCCCCGCATAGTCCGCTTGCCGCCCAAAGATTATCACCGCTGACTTGATATTGGATATAGCTCTGATCAAGTATGCCTGTATCCGTTCCCGTGCCTAATGCTGTCTTCCTAACATCATGTTCCTAGTGGGTTCGCCGCAGAGGCTCCTGTGAATGCTCTTCAAACTCTTTCCACGGAGTCTACTGAATATAAACCGGTGATCGAGGAGGACAAGGTGGTGTCCGCCAACGGGGAATTCGTGGGCCAGGAGCATAACTTCTAAAATGTTCGAGTCCCAAGATGGCCAGGGATTTTGTGACTTTCTCGTCGTCAGATGGTACTTGAGAGCAGGATATGATGAAAGTCGATTGGGGACCACGATAACCCACGGCATTCCTTATGGCAAATTCTCAAACGCGCGGTCGTTTTCAATTGTGGTTTGGGCTTAATTTTGATACTGGGTTGATTGGTGTACTAGGAGTATCTACGATGGCTGCAGTGCGGCTGAACTTGGTTGATTGGGAATAGGCTGGGATAAGTTGATTTATGTTTTTTTCTTTTGATTTTTAGAAAGCGTAGAATGGACTCTGCAATGAGTGACATTTCATAGAAGTAAACCTCTACTGTCGTATCAACGTTGTAAAGGTCTAGCCAAGACCGGGGCGATCTTCCCCCGCTAGCGACTCGGCGCTCTTCGTGGCCCCCGAACGCGCTCGCGTGGATCCGCAACTCTCCAACTCCCCTACTGCCCAGGGGATTACAAATGCTGCACACTCCATTCCCTTTGCCGATTTGAGTGCTCGCATTCGCCATGTCTGTGGAACACAACGTGACCAAGGTTCTGTTGGAATGGATCAACAGCTTCTCCCTGGGCAAGACACTTCGCGCCCCGGAGGAATTGACTGACGGAATAATCTTATGGGAAATTCTCCAAGATATCGATCCTCAATACTTCCTCGACGAGATCCCCGAGCGCAACCCCGAAAACCACTGGGTGGCCAAATGGCAGAACCTCAAACATGTCCACAAGCTCCTTTTAAGCTATATCCGACACCAAAATGACGACTCGCTGCCCACCGGTCTCGACCCATCCCCGGACCTTGAAGCCATCGCGGAGAAAGCTTCCTCCAAAGAAACGAATAAATTGCTGAAACTCCTCTTGATCGCCGCCATCAGCTCACCCAACGCGGAGACATACGTGCAGACTCTCCAGGGATTGACTACTTCGACCCAGGAAGGTCTCAAGGATATTATTGAGGAGGCACACAATGGCCAGCATGAGCCAATGCATGCGGCGGACGAACTTCGAGAGGATCTGGCGAAGCGAGACCACCCGGTGGATCTGGAACTGCAATTCGAGGAACGAGTCGGGAAGGTGCTTGCGGAGAACGATCGTCTATCCCACGAGAAAAAGGAGCTGGAGAAGGCACTGGAAGACCTACATAATCGACTAGCACGCTTGCAGGAGAACAATGACACCCTTCAGAATCGACTGGCTTCCACCGAGGATCGTTTGGTGACCCTCAAGTCTGGGAAGGGCGACTTGGGGTTCAATGCCAAGGCATTGGAGAGCAAGACTCGACAACAAGATGATCTCATCGCATCCCAAGAGGCTAAACTCACCGCTGCCCAAGATGAAGTGGATAGTCTTCGCATGAACGTCGAGTCATTGAAGGTCAAAAACCAACGGTATCAAAAATTACAAGACGACTATGATGAGCTCCGCACGGACCGAGATCAATTGGCGCGCAAGGCGAATGCCGCTGAGAAGTACCGCCAGAAGCTCCAGGCTAGCCAGGATTTTGAAAAGGAGAACCAGACACTCAAGAATCAGATCAAAGATCTCCAGCAGCAGCTGAAGGAGTCCGACTCGCAGCAACGATGGACTTCGGAACACGATGTCGAGCTGGAAGAATACCGCAAACTTCTTCCTCGCATTGAGCAAGAGTGCAATGAAATCCAGAATCTAAAGAAGCAGCTTGAATTCAACAACCATGCTCTGACTGAGCGACTTGAAAGTGCGGATGAACAACATGAGAGAGATGATGCCTTGATCAGTGAACTGCGGGAACGCCTCCGAGAATTAGAAGGCCTACCCGGCAGTCCCTCGCCGGGCTCTGAGACCCCTAAGATGCAAGGAACCCTGTCCAAAGACTTTGAATCTATGAGCATGAAGGACTCGCAACTGTATGTAATCTCTCTGTTATGGGGTTTTCCCTCGACTAATCAATGACAGCAAATCCGACAATGACGAATTGAAGCGAGAGGTGGAGTCAGTGAAAGCACCATCTGCTGTGAGTTCTATGCCTCTTCATCGATAGATACTCTTGCCGCTAACATCCGTCAGCCCGGATCGCATACAGAAGGCTTTTCTGAGAACTTTAACACATCTGTGCAACTCGCTCGCTCTAACTCCACGCAAAGGTATGCTGGCCCCAAGTTTACTGCCGAGTCACCACTAATCCCGCACATAGTGATGAATATTGGAAACTATACGAAACGTATACCGGCACATTGAAAAGACTTGCGGAGATCCAGGATAGCCTGGAAAGCACTAAAAAGGACCTCTCTAACGCTCAGACGCAGAGTACGTTATGGTCGCATTCATATTTGGCGATGCCGCTAACAATAGCCTAGTTGGTCTTGTCGACACGGAGAAGGCGGACATGCTCCGTGAACTTGAAGAGCATAACTCTGCTGAATTAGCCAAGCTCCGTGGGGACTGGGGTAATCTCACACAGAATGTACACCATCTTGAAGCGGAAGTGGACGCCAGCCAAACCTTAGTTCGTGAAGTCTGCGCGGAAAGAGAGGAGTTGCGCAAGATGCTCGACAACAAGCAGAATGAGATCAGCGTCGAGGATCAGGAGGTCTTGAATGAGATGCAGATGCTGTTAGGTGAATTTGAGATTCATAACAGCGAAGGTGGTGAAATCCCCCAGAAATCAAGCTTCGAGCTGCTCAAGCAGTGCGCCGGTGTATTGGAGAAGAATGTTGAGCGTTTAGCTCAGCGTGCGGAGGTCTGTTTTAACCCCCTAAATGTTTGGGAAACGCCATTGCTAATCTATATTTGGCCTATAGTACATTCAGCAGCAGAATGAACTCATCAAGTCACTTCGAGAGAGCATGAAGAATTATGAGGAGAATCTGGATGATGGTATCCCCAAAGAACGTGAAGTCAGTTCCTCCAAGCTCCTCCTATTAATGTCACAGCAATCTGACCGCATCTTTCCTCCGCAGATTGAACTTCAAAAAACTATTGATGACCAAGCCCGAGAGCTCAGTCTTGTAAGCTCAGCCTGGTATCATCTTCAGAGCCGGTGGCAGAACAACAACATGACCATCTCACGCTATCGACAAGGCGCGAGTATGACAGATCCACGAGGCTGGTTGGCTAAGCAAAGAAGCGTCGTTGCTGGCCAATAAGTCTCTCTCAGACCATATATCATCTGAGTCGCTTTTTTCTGTCGTGTTCATTAGAAGGTTTCGTTTATATCCCATTAGACCCCTTTTGTACTTTTGATGGATTATATACTTTTCATGGCACATAGAAAGCATCTCTTTTCTTCGTTAATATATGTTGGCGCTTCTTGTTTTTCTTTTTTATCTTCTGGTTTACCACGGCCAAAGTCGCTGGGTCAACTGATCTGTATCTTGGAATTGAGCTCTTGGCAAGTTGTTTTCAAAGCTAATGTACATAAGTTGGCTTCAATTTCATTTCTCCCGGTGTCCCGTAAAATTTAATAGTCGTGTATTCAATATAGTCCGCCTGGGCAGGTATATGGCCGAGTGTATGAGCCTATCATGCAAATCCTCTGATGATGGGAACTGAGGATTTAATTTTGACTATATTTGCACAGATGGTGAAGTAATGTACATGAAAAGAGGCATTCTATGCCTCTTAGATAATAAGACAATAATGCGTCAACAAGTATGACCGAATTAACGTGGTTTTGAGGCCGAGCAGCAGGCACGAAAAGGTACTGTAGGGGACGCCAATTATGCCCACTGCCGAGGGTGCTTCAGGACATCCATAATCTCTTTTTCGCTAGCCTTATCCTCGC